CAGTGGTATGCAAAAGAGCCATGTAGAATAAATTCTTTAAACTGGAAGAAAATGCAAGACTTTCTGACTGGCACAGAATCAGATGGGACACATAAATGTAAAAACAGAGATTAAAATTATCCATCTAGAGAAAATAGTTTAGTAACTTCCAGAATTATGAGGGAGAAAAAGAGGGTTTGATCTGATATTCTTCACCATGAATTCTACTCCACAGTTCAGAGCTGTACCAGGTATGTATACCACTCCAGCTGGCTTCAATTATACAATGCAGAGTCAGAATCTGTTTCAAGGCAAAGATGGGAGTCTGGCAGGTGAATAACCATCAGCATCTGACTAATTCAGCAGAGAAAGCAGGAGGAGATTTAAGAGACTCACTGGGGCCCCAGTTTGCAGTATAAACCTGGAACTACAGAGGCTATCTTCTGAACCTTAAGATTTGGTGGTGTGGGCTTCCTGCTGTTGTAACCAGAGGATGGAGCTGATTGAGTATGGTAGCAATTGCATGTGAGTTGTTGACTCTTTACAGAAATCTGTCATTTAAAAAGTGGATTACATGGTTGTTTTCCTACCCAAAAGCTTCGCAAAGCTACCTGCCAAGCCAAGCAAGATGCAGATTTAATACTGTGGTAGTCTAGAGAGAAATTCCACAATACACCTGTGCAAAAGTGGTTTGTGCAATCAGAGTGGAAATTAGATTACCCTTGTGGTAACACCCTGAAGCTGTACCTGAACATCCTTGCCTACCAGTAGGGAGTGATTGACTCCCATACCAAGAGCAAACTGAATCCTCTGTCCTCTTGACTGCGGGGTGAACACAAAACAAGGACTGCCAGGACAGGCAAGAAAGCCTCTGCTGCTCTCTGTGCTACTAAAGGTTGGGCTGAGCTCTTTTCTGTTGTGAGTTTCTTTCACGTCTTCTCTGTGCATCATCATTATTCAATTTTTTGCAACACTGTGCTTGTAACTGTAGGATCACAGTGTCCTCCACACAGGCCAAAACATAGGCTTCAGTTAGCTGTCTGCCACTTCATCTCTCAACTACAGTTTATTTGTCATCTAAAAAAAACAACGATGGAAGGTTGCATAAGCTTGCTCTTTAACAAATTAAGTGCTTTGTGACTGTAAATAAGGAAAGAAGTTTTTGCTTCTGACATCTTGGCTGAAAGCAAAGAGCATCAAAACAATTCTTGATGGGTGGCATGAGCCGCAGAACAGTACCTGGCACTGCTTGTTGCAGAAGCACATATAAAAGCTCTTTCCAATAAACTAATCCTTTTTTTTTCTCTCTTTGACTCAGAGCTGAAAGTGTTGGCATCTGCAACCAACATCTGGAATTTGGTCCAGAACAGCTGATTCACTACCTGTTCTGCAAAACCATAAGATGCGATGTCTTGAGATAATCATCCCTGGTAGTTTGATCAGGAAGAATTTTTGATCAAGCAAACAGTACAGCAAATAACCACGACAACTTTCAGAAGAGATTACAAGCAAAGATAGAAAACCTTGATTAAAAGCCATTTAAAATATATCAACAGCTTGATAGCCTGTCAAAGGTGGAAGAACCCTTTCCTAATCACACAAGGGCCTGCTTTCTTGATGGGAGTTTTCTCTCTGGCATACAAAATGTTAGGCAAAACCTGCTAATCTGGCCTGTCAAAAGAACATGCAGCAGCACTCTGCCCCTGGCCCCAAACCTCTCATCTGCTGTTAGCATGAAGGTTGGGTCCATGAGACTGCCCACCCCAAAACCACCTAAAACCAAAACCTGAACAAAAAAAAACCCCAAACCAAATGGGGACAGGCATGATACATACTTATGATCTATTTGGGGCATCAGCTGAACACACTGTATAAACTTGAAGGCTTTTAAGGCTTCTTTATATTTACTTTCTGATTTTTAGAAATACTGTAAATCCTGCATAAATTGGAAGGGGACTGTAAGATTCCCCATGGACCAACCTTGTGTTAGACAAGTCCGATGACAATAAAACTTGAAGTATAGTGGTAGGGTCACAATGTCTTAGCCTTGTGTCTCCAGTGGTTAAAATGCCAAGTGAGGAAAAATACCCATCTCGCTGGTAACTCTTCAGAGTCTAACTGTGAACCAAGAACTCTTTTTTGAGACATTTCTATGGCTTTTTGAGCCTTATCTATTAGCATTAGATAAGGGTAATTATAGAAGTCTAATGTCGTGAGCATCTTGTATTGGCTGCTGCTAACACGTAGGTTGCACATAGACTTCCACCACCAAGAGACACAATTCAAGTATCAATTAGAGCCTTGCCCTGAGATTGCTGAGGAAGAAATGTCACAGCTCTCAAAAGTGTATGTTTAGGCATGTCCTCAGCCAGCTGAACCCACAATAAGTTTCTATTCACAGGAGATGCTTCTTAGCAAAGGAGAATCAGCTTTTAGAAGAGAAAGACACAGACCCTACCACTGTTATGGGTTCTTCTGCAGCAGCTGCAATAATGTAATTGTTTCCTTCCTGAATTTCAGCTGAAAATAGGTCTTTCCCCGTTCAAAACTTCCTTGCCTTAGAGCTTATCATTCTCATATACTGCTTAATTTGCTAAAGTATTCTGATAATAACTACAAAAGACAAGGAGATAATTGTGTTGTATTAAATATAAGCTTTCCCTTTCTTCATGTTTGCATTAAAGTTCTTGTTAGGGTTTCTATTAATGTAGGAAGTATATGGACTTAAAACCTGTGAATGTGCACCATTAAACCTGAAAACACATGCACAGACCCAATGTTCGGATATAATACCTGATAAAACGGGTACGGGTTCCAGCTCGAGGAATTCAGCCCGTGTGGAACAGCTCTCTTCCTTTCTGTGTTTCTAGATGCCCCATCCCTGGCAGTGTTGAAGGCCAGCTTGGATGGGGCTTGGAGCAAGCTGCTCTAGTGGAAGGGGTCCCTGATGGTGGCAGCGGGTGGCACTGGGTGAGCTTTAAGTTTCCTTCAACACAAACCAGCCTGTGATTCTTGCTCAAGGTAACTCTGTTGCTCCAGCTTGGGTGACACGTTAAGGAGAGGCAGGATGAGACATCTGCAGCCTACGAATGACCCCTACCCGCCGTGTGCTGACCGCTGCACCTCAGCCTTGCTCTGCCGGTGCCTCTCGGCCCCACGGCAGGGCAGGTTTCTGGGTTACAGCTTTGGGGAGGCAAGCGCCGGGTCCCTCACGGCCCGTTACAAACGTTTCGGTGCCACATTTCTCCCTACGGCTGCGGTTCGGCGAGGAGTGGGATCCAGCTGAGGTCTTTGTGATGAACTGAAAACCCCAGCGGTTCTCGCCTGCTTTCTTTCCAAACGATGAAGCGGAACAAGCGCCAGCTCGGGTCCGTTCAGTCCTGCGGTAAACGCGCGCGCTCGGCCTGGGGCGCCACCTGCTGGAGCAGGCGGGAAGCGGAACCATCGGCGGGGTGCGGAGGTGAGGGGGGTCCTGGGGCGGCAGAGGGCATGGCCGAGCCTCCCGGCTCCCTCCCGGCATCCAGGGCCCGAGGAGGACCCGGAGCTGGCGATAAGAACGCCATTGATGCTGTTCCCTGGCGCTGCAGGCGCAGGGCCACAACTGGTTTGAAGACCAAGGAACGCCAAGTACTCGTGTGTGCAGCTAAAACCGGAGCCGTGATTCCCAGATGGACCCATGGAGTCTGAACAGGACACGTATGGGAAGTGGAGAGAGTCACTGCGTATGCAAGGTGGCAAAATGAGTTTGTGAAGAAGATTCCATCGTGTTTTCTTTCTAATTGGACTGAATGAGAAACTTGTGAAGCCAAACTTAGCTGCTTACTGAGAGGCAACACAGGTCTGCTGCTGCAATCTCAGCAACTGCAAGAGGATGCCATACCACCTAGTGCCACAAGACCAAACAGCTCCAGCTTTTCCTTAGAGCAAGAGTCACAAATGCAGTCGTTTACTTTATCAAAAATGCCTGTTATTCAGTTACTCCTCTTCCTAGCTTAAGAGATTGTCCAAAACTGTGTTAACTTCTTGTTTAGAGGCTTGGTTCCTGATAGAAATAGAACAACTACCTGCAGAGTTATGAATTCCCTTAATATCTAAGCACAATAACACTGTTATGAAGGCCATGAGGTTGTGTGGGGAGCTCAAAGTTGCTGATCTATTTTCATCCCATAAATCACGCTTGTGGAATCTCAACTTTGGAAAGTTCATGTTTGTGCTCATCGCCCAGCTCATGGTCTGACCATAGAACAGCCCTTGTCCCATAGCGGATCAGTGTCTGTCCTTAACACATGAAGGACGCAAGGCAGAAGCAGTGGAACGAGGCACTGCTCAGTGGTGGGCCCCTCTGGTAGAGCTGGAAGCCCTGCCATGGAGAGCATCAGTGGAGCGGAGGAACAGGAGAACTCCTCAGGGAAATTATACGGTGACAATGTTATTCTTATTGACTGCTTGTATTAGAAACCACATCAACTCCCAAACCAACCCATGGAAAGTAAATCATCTTCCCAGCAATTACACATTATCACCGTCCCTGAGGAGCAAATGCATCTCTTCAGTGTACTGTGTGTGACGGTGGTGACTTTCCTGCTCCTGCTGTTTACCTGGGCTCGATTTTACATTAAATTTGCTTTCTGAAGTAAATGCAGCTACAAGTGACCTGTAGAAACTGACCACTGTCATTAAGGCCTCTTCAAGCAGGATTACGTCCAGTAGATACTGGCTAGCATGAGAGATTACACACGGTGCACTGCCTGGGTGTTCTTTAAACCCTAGCCTAATGCATTCTGGCTTTCCCCTCTCAGGGACCCCCACAGGGCTCCGGAGGCGGGCGGAAAGCGGGGCACCGCGGCCGCTGCACCGAGGGGAGCCCCGCAGCACCGCGGCCTCCCCGGCCTCCGAGCGACGCTCATGCGCCTGGCCAGCAGGGGGCGCCGCCCGGGGGGGGAAGGCCGGAAGCTAAAGGTCTGACCCAAGCCGTCACGTGTGCAGTACGCGGAAGCGCTGCACAGGAAGAGGAGGGGGTACTTCCGGCGTCGGCCGGGCTGTGCGCTTAGGCAGTGCGGCCGCTCGGCGCGCTGGGCCGGGTCGATCCCCGCTATGCGACAGACTCCGAGGCCCGCAGGTAAGGCGCGGCCCGCGCTGCCGCCGCACGGGACCTGAGGACCCACTCCGGGGGGAGCGGAGGGAGATAGGGCGGCGCGGTACGGCGAGTGAGGCCTTCCCCATCCCCGCCGCGCAGGGGGCTGCGAGCCGCGTTCCGCCCGGGTGCCTCTCCCCCGCGGGCTGAGGAGCCGCGGGGCGCGGGTGGGAGCGGGTGCTGGGCCCTGTCGTCAGCAGTGGGGGTGCAAGGGCTTGGCTGGGCCTGCAGCCTCCGGGACAGGGCCTCAGCGCCGCGGCTGTAGCGTGCGGGAACTGCCGGGGCAGGTAAACAAGTTGATTGTCCGGTAGCTGTACATATGGGGAGGTGAAGTAACTGACTATAGGCGCTTCTGAGAGGAGTTTTGCTCTTGAGTGAGTAGTATCTGCCTTGTATGTGTCACTCAGTGTTGCAGCATGGAGGCTATGGGGTTTTAATTACTTAAAATAAAAGGACTTTGTTCTTTATGAGTTGGGATAAAGGAGATGCAGGCAGAGCAGGAGGAAGTAAAAGTGAAGTTTTCTTGATGTGTGATTTTATTAACAAGAATTACTTTATTTACATTTTGATTGGTTTTGTTTACAAGAAAATTTATATATATTTATATGTATATATATAAAATCTATATAATATATAAAAAAATGTATATATAAAAGTTTGTTTCCATGTGGAATTGTTTGTGTGGTGGCCTCTTGAGTGCTGGCTGAAAGCTGCCAGTTTAGATTAGCAGTAACTAGATAAGGTCTGTAGGCATGTTTCTTTAAATTTCCATTGAATGTGTCCTGAAGGTTTATCTTTTGCAGGCAAGTGTTGAAAAATAGACTTAAATCTGGGAACGTTCTGAAACATAAAGAGCTGCATCTGCATGAGAAAGTATGTTTGATAGGAATAAAATAGGTATTTTGTAATGCTTATGAGGTATAAGGCAATTGCTAAAAATGCTTAAGTAACATTGTCAAGTTGGTGTACGCAGAGTGGTAATAACAATTGAAGTGGCTGGCATGGTGTTCTGTTGCTTTCTGGAGAAACACCAGTAGCTGATGCAGTCTCCTGAAGTGGGTTGGTTCTGTGGGTACACAGCAGGGCTGATGCTTCCAAGAATAAAAGTGAAGAGTGCTGAAGACAGTAAGTTTAAAGGTGGTGTTCTACTGTTATGTAGGTAATGACTTAAAGGTCAGATGACCTGCAAGCTTTTCAAAGCTTCCTTTTCCAAAGATGTATTTTTAAAACCTATTTCTAGTATTAAATACTTAAAGCAAGTTGTAAGGGCTGAAGGGGAGGACTGTCTGAAGGGGGAGTAATAGTTTGTGATGTAAAGGGCTTTCCTTTCATAACACTGTTAGTCAAAACACTTAAGAATAGTGATGTGCTAAACCTGCAAGTTTTAAGCTGTTTCCTCAGTTGATGCGTGTTGGTTTGTGTCTCAGCAGAATGTAACTGTTTCCCTGTGATTTAGGTGGGTTGGTATTTGTAGGAAAACTGCCTTGTGCCACCAGGTGTTTAAAAACCCCCACTAAAATGATGACTGATCCTCATGCCAAATCTGAGGTAGTTGGTAAACACCTCTTAAGTTAAGCAGTTGTCTCAGCCAGTAAAACAATAATGATTTGTGAAAATATAAAGTGTGACTTTACTGTAAGTTATGAAGTTCAACTACAAAATGTTTAGTCCTTCTATTTCCTCTCATTACCCAGCATTGGAAATGAGTGTAGGAAGAAGGGAAATGATCAAAAAAGGTACTTTTTTTCGTTGGACTGTTGCTGTGATTATTTATGGTTACAAATGGCTTTCATAAATGACAGGTTATTCTTCCCAGTCTGTTTTCTTCAGACATTCATAAAAGTCAGTTTGATACTATGCATTTAGTGAAAAATGAAAAGGAATCTTAAAAGCAGAATGTTCGTGATTCTGCAGTAGATACAGGTTTTATGAGGAGCTTGGGTCTGTGTTTACTGAAGTCTCAATGGCTTTCTGACTCCCATGCTCTTTGCTATGGAAAGCCTGATCACCTTTCTTTAAGGTAACAGTGACTAGTCTGTGCTCCATATGCTTGGCATCCTTCTCTAGCTCTGAACCTTTGGAGATGGGCACTGAGGTTTTTCGGGAGTAGGAGAGAGCTGTCAAGAATATGATTTGGAGAACAGATGAGAATGGTAAGGAAGGGATTATGCAGCCATGAGCTGTTGATTAAACATTGAGTGAGCTACATAATCCCTCCTGTGCTGTCTGCGTCTTGGCAACAAGCTCTGCTGCTCCTTCTGCACTCAGCACTCACATGTTTGTGCCGACGTGCCAGCGTTTTAACACGAAAGTGCACCAAAAGAACAGTTTTCTATTGCTGGTTACATAACCATGTGCAAAGCCCTGCGGTTGTTGTGCAGGCTCTCTATAGCAGGGATTCATAATCTTATCTTCTTGATTCTGTATTTCCCTAGAAGCACTTTCATTTTAGAGTCCTCAACTGTTTGTAATGCAAATTCTGGTTTTACACCATATTAACAACATGCTTTACATTCTGTATGTATACACTGTCTGCTAATTTACTACATATTATCTCAGGTGTGTCTGTTAAAACTTTGGCACATTCTCACTGATGAGAAACAGATGAATGTCAGAGAAATCTGCTTGCTATTCCATGGCTCTTCTAGAATTCCATTGTATTCCATTTATAGATTATCAGGTTGAAAAATTGCACAAGTTGAATTTATTCAGGCAGTTAGTGTTGGTCGTTCATCGCTGCATTTAAATTTGCCATCATTTCTAATGGTAACAACATGTAAATTTATCTCAAATTTAAAATTTAAAGTAGACATTTTAAATAATTACTGCTTAAGAGACTGTTACCTTTGTAGTAAGACATCTGGATCATGTGGGAATAAAGACATTAAAAACTAAGCTATTAGCTGAGCTTCTAGTATGTAATTGTTGCACTGTTACAAATACAAGGTGCCTGCAGATAAAATTCTGTACAGTAGAGATATCCTTTTCCTGATTAACATTTTAGATTCATAAGGTTTTTCTTAAGGTAAGGAATGCTACAATAACATGTGAAAAAGATTGGAATTACACGATTGTAGTCCTGCAGCTGTGCGAGATGTTGCTATCACACCTTTCAGTTAGTAAAATGACAAGAAATTGTCACTAGGAGAGTCATAAGCCTCATTCTCACTTGGGTTCTCTCTGTGCTGCCTTTGCCATTGTATGAATCAATATCTTGGCTTTTGAAAACTTCATTTAAAGTGGAGTATTTCATAAGAGTACCACCAGTCTTTATTTGGGATCGGTGAGATGATTTTGTTAGCAGAATCTCTCATTTGCTGTTATAAACTCTGGGACAACCTGGAGTTAGAACTTTACTGCCAGAATTTCATTAAATAACTGTTTTTGTTATCTTAAACTCATGCTTGAAGTGCTTAATCTATCTCAACTGGGTACCGTGCTTATTGTACGTCCTCTTCATGAGTCCTCTTGGATAGAAGAAACACAACAAAATATGCTGTGGCCTAGGTACAACTTTGAGAAATGACAGAAATGTGGTGGGGTAGGAAAATAGAAGTGCAGTAGTGACACAGGTTCCCGAAAATGCTGGGTTGATTCCATGTGAGTCTGCTTGAGTGTTATTTGTTAAAGAAAACAGAAAGTGTAGAAGGAAATGGGAAGGTCAGTACTTTACTATCAGAATTTCTGATCTTGTTTTTCCTTTTCCTTGCAGCACAGCACTAAATTTGTAATGAAATGGAGTCTGGGTCAAGCTCTTTTCGAGTGGAATTTCCAGACTTTTCTAGCACCATTTTGCAGAAGCTAAACCAGCAGCGCCAGCAAGGACAACTATGTGATGTGTCCATTGTAGTTCAGGGCCATCTCTTCAGAGCCCATAAAGCTGTTCTTGCAGCCAGTTCACCTTACTTCTGTGATCAGGTTCTCCTGAAAAACAGCAGAAGGATAGTCCTGCCTGATGTGATGAATCCCAGGGTATTTGAAAACATTCTTCTGTCTACCTATACAGGTCGTCTGGTAATGCCTGCTCCTGAAATTGTTAGTTATTTGACAGCAGCAAGTTTCCTTCAGATGTGGCATGTGGTGGATAAATGCACTGAAGTGCTAGAGGGGAACCCAACAGTTCTGTGTCAGAAGATGAATCATGGCAGTGACCATCAGTCCCCGAGCAGTAGTAGTTACAACGGCCTGGTTGAAACCTTTGAACTTGGCTCTGGAGGACAGCCGGAATTCCATAAAGGGCAGGAGCTAAGAGATGGCGAAAACGAAGAAGAGAGCTCTAAAGATGAACTATCATGTCAACTGACGGAACATGAGTACCTTCCCAGTAATTCTTCAACAGAACATGATAGACTGAGCACTGGAATGACAAGTCAGGATGGTGAAGAAGGAACTAGCGATAGTGCAGAGTATCAGTATACCAGGCCTATGTATAGCAAACCCAGCATCATGTCTCATAAGCGATGGATCCATGTGAAACCAGAAAGATTTGAACAAGACTGTGAAGGTGTTGATAATCCTTACGATGAACACCAGGTGTCTGAATCCATGAATGCCATTCAGGCAGATCATTCAATCCAGTCTTCAGGTGTTGAAGACTTTCATATAGGTGACAAAAAAATGGAAACAGAATTTGATGAGCAGGCAGATGAAAGTAATTATGATGAGCAAGTTGACTTCTATGGCTCTTCTATGGAAGAATTTTCTGGTGAAAGGGCAGATGGAAATATAAATGCTCACAGACAGGATCTTATGATGGCAGCAGGTTACAGTGAAGGCGTTGAAATGGCTACAGGAATTAAAGAAGAAACGTCCCTCACTGGATTCTCACATGCTGATAAGCTGTATCCCTGTCAGTGCGGAAAAAGCTTTACACACAAAAGTCAAAGAGATCGGCACATGAGTATGCACCTCGGCCTCCGACCTTATGGCTGTGGTGTGTGTGGTAAGAAGTTCAAAATGAAACACCATCTCGTAGGCCATATGAAAATTCATACAGGCATAAAACCGTACGAGTGTAACATCTGTGGGAAAAGATTTATGTGGCGGGACAGTTTCCATCGGCATGTGACCTCCTGTACCAAGTCATACCAAGCTTCTAAAGCTGAGCAGAGTACTACTGAGATGAACTAAGGCATCAGTGCTTACGTTTGTTTATTAAAGTAAGCAAATTGATTATGCAAATCATGTCTGGTACTTGCTATTGTAAATTCTCAATCTACTCCCCGCCCTCCAAGTTGTAATGATTATGCTGGTATAAACAGACCAAATTCTTATTTTACTTTCTAGAGTATTACTCCAGGTGTTCAAAGTGCAAACGGTTAATCTGAAAGGTACTTGTAAAGTGAGGTCTGTAAGGTCTCTGTGACGTTTATTGTAATCACAGCAGTATTTAGAAGCCCTGTTGATTTTCCTGAGTCTTCTAAATTCAAAGCTCAGAACTGACCCAAATCCTGCAAATGCTTAGATGAAGCAAGAATTAAAGTAGCCCTACTTAATAAGGAAGAGAACTAGGATGACAAAACCAGGGTGCATATCACAGAACCACGGAATGGTTTGGATTGGAAGGGACCTTAAAGCTCACCCAGTTTCAACCCCTGCCATGGACAGGGACACCTTCCACTAGAGCAGGTTGCTCCAAGCCCCTGCATCCAACCTGGCCTTGAATACTGCCAGGGATGGGGCAGCCACAGCTTCTCTGGGCACCCTGTGCCAGCGCCTCAGCACCCTCATGATGATCTGATTCACATTTTAATGACAAAAAGTTAGAATTCCACCTCAATCTGGAGACTGCCAACATATTTAATGTGCATCATTAGATAGTTTATATTGTTAAATAGCCTTTGCTGTATTGCTTAATGAAAGGCTGTGTTAAATATGGTTTGGCTTTCCTTTATCTGTCTTCCGTTTTATTATCCATCTTCAGTAAAACAAATGTTGTCTAATTTTGTGCTGATTTCTATTTGGTGTCTGTAACGCATTTAAATATAGTTGAGCACTATATAAACATCAGTCTGCATTAAGCATAATTTGTCTCTACTCCTCTAGGGCCTAATGCCATATGACTCTTGGCTTGACTTGATTTTGATTGCTACACCGTGAGAACTTCTAGAAGGGTGTGTAATAAATGTTCTGTCAGGGAAAAAAAAAAGTAATATTTGGAACTTACCCAAAATAATCAAACATTCAAACTGTAGTTTTCTGGTCAGATTTTTTGTGGTTTACTACAGTAGCAAGTACCAAACTCTGTGGATTCCCAGATTGACTTTTTATTGGTACAGAAACTTCTTTGAGAATTTCTATCTAGTTTTAGAAACCTGCTTTAGGAAAATTATTTAGTCATTGATAGGTATTTATACTTTTAATTCTTTTACTCTTTGAATAAGAAGAACTATAATACAGATTCTTGGTACTGAACTACTGTGACTGTACATGTGATCACAAGCAGCCAGAGTTGATTACTTCTGCAGATGAAGTTGCTTGTGGAAAAAAAAAAAGTAGGAATTATGGTCTTTAGATCTATTATTGGTACTGAGAACACGGTACCGTGCTTGTGTCCGAAGTCTGGGGGTTTGCTGGGGAAGTGGTGCTCCTGCTTCGTTAGGGTGAGGATCTATGTGCTGGGCTCTCATTCCTGGTGATAGATGGAGGAGCATTTGTAGTTCCGAGAGATGCTGCCAGCTCTGCAGGTAGAGTGAATACATCAATTTTAAAGGTGGCAACAGGATTTTGGGGTTGAAAGCTTAATGCAGTCCTGTGCAAAAGCAATTAACCCTTTTTGTAGTTTACTGAAACATGAAAAGGAAAGAGCCGTCAGAGCATACACAGACTATGACACAAAGAGTTAATGTCCAGGTACAGTGCTGGTAACATGAGGGGGGAAAGTTACCCAGCACCAAAGGCCTAGGCCTGTGTGGCCCAAATTTATATATTGGATACGTGGTATGCAGGATAACATACTTAACAGATACATACATAACAGATGACCCTGTATGGTGAAGTAAAACCACGCAAAGATAGTTACTATTTAGATGCTTTTTTTAAACTCCCAGTTACAAATTGTCTTAAGATGCAACCAAACTGTATCTTGAATGTGAACGTCTGGTACAAGCTGGGGTTTTACTACTCAGTGGGCTGTAATGTCTGTAGCTTCTTTTCTGACATTCTACTTACAAACTTTAATTTTCTTGAGAGGCTCTTAATCTTCTAATGCTTCAGATATTTTTCATATGGAATTTTGTTAAAGCAGATATTCCCAAATAGGATGAACCCGTTGCTGGCAATGGGCAGAAATGGTCAGCACCACAGAGTTCCTATTCTTAGCACTTAACTGAACTCTACAGTATACCATGGTGGCCATATATAACCCTTGTAATCAAGGTAACTAAACAGGGATTTGCTCACTAACACTGTAACCTGCTTAATGTATAGAAGCACTTTGTATTTAAAAGGAAAAGCAAAAAAAAAAAGGAAAAAACATAAAACTATGTTTTCTAAACTTAGAAATATATTCCCTTTATGGTTTGTTTCCACACTGCTAATACTGTCTTTTTTAATATTGAAAAAAATAATTATAATGCTTGCCTGTTTACATGAGTGTAGAAGAAAGAGGGTTCTTGCACTCAGTGGCCCTATTTTTCCATCTTCAAGGCCTTACTACATACAGGGTGTCATTTCTGCAGGTACCATCATCACACTCGAGGGAAGGTATTCTCATACGCATTTCAGGAGTAATCTTGTGTATTACATTAGTTCTCAACCCCTTTCAAATTGTCACTTCAGTGTTGCATACAAAGGTTAAGGGTGCCTCTTCCCATTTAACCATCAAAAAGGCTGGTCAGAGACATCAGGCCTAAAAAACACGGTCATGCAAAACACCTCATTCTATTAAACCTAGACTATCCTACAGAGCTGCCAGCAAAACTGTTTGTTTTATCAGCTTGGAATGACTTTTACATGGGACATTTCAAAGTTAAGGGTTGCTCCTATTTGCAGTTAGACTACTTTGAAATAAAGCTTTAAAATAAAATGTACTGCGAGAGACACTTTAAAGGTTTTATAACAGGTCCAGTAGATCATATTATAGAACCATGTCCTCTTTTACTGACTTAGCATGAATAGTAACTTTATAACATTTCTTATTACTATTTTACCCCATTTTATGACACTGTCCTAAAAGTCCAACAAATGTTGCTCCACTGATCCTGTAGCACTTGGCTTTTTGATGTTAATTGACATGAAACCAGTTGATTGCAGGAAAATACTGATAGGATTATCATGAGGTTGAGAGGATGGATGGTGTAAGGAAAGTGTGAGATAACATGTCTAAAATCCTTACTTTTGCTCATCACAGGCAAAACAATTGACTTGTGTTGGTTTTCATGAATTTACTATATTGCCTTTTGACAAACCTCTGATCACTGATTCAGGTATTGGGGGGGGGAAGATAACAAGAAATTACTTAAGCACTTAAGGAAACCTCTGTCCTTCCCTTTCCTCAGTCTCAGCTTAAGGCTCACACCTCTCCTTGCTTTTGTAGTCTCCTATTATTTCCCTTGCTTTCATTGAGAGCTGCATTCAGCCCGTGCCAGCTCGTGTAGTGAGGTGACAGATCACTCAGGAGATTGGGCTCATTGGCACATTGGCTTGTCTTGCCACTCTTCATCTCAGTGGGTGTCCTCTGCTGCTCTGGGCTGGTTGTTGTCACTGATCGTCGTGGCACCACATAGTTCCATCAGGGATGTGTCTGTTCCAGCTTGGCTCTCCTGGAGGCTTCAGATGTGCACCTGCTTTGGCATGGCTTAGCTACAGGCCAAAGTCCCTTCAGAAGTGAATATCCCAGGCTTGGAGTGTGTCCTGCTGTGTGTGTCTATACATGTCCTCAGTGTCTTCTCCACGTGTTTCCCAAGGGCAGCTCTTCAGTTTGTCCACCTTTACACATGTGTTTCCCTGGGAGTATCTTCTCCTTATGTGTCTCCTTGCACCTCTTGCTAGCAGCTGCCACTCTTCCTTAATCATGATTGAGCAGAGGCACTGTGCTCATCTCTGGCTGAAGTTCTGGCATGCAGTGGATTGTTTGCATGCACTTCAGTGCAGGCTAGGACCTGTTGTGAGCAGCACAGGGCAGTTTGTAACCTCTTGCTGTATGTCAGGGAGTGTCCAGACAATGCCCTTAGTCATGTTGTTTTAGGTAGTCCTGCGAGGAGCAGGGAGTTGGACTCTGATCTTTATGGGTCCCTTCCAACTGGAGATACTCTGTCAGCCTTGCAGCCCCCTGCTACTGAAACCCTGCAGTTTATGGCAAATACAGTTGTGCAGAGTAAACCAAGACCTGCAGATGCAGCTTCTGTCAAGCTCTTGATCTTTGCTAACGGAGTGGTCTTGTTCAACACACAAGAAATTACTCCTTGTTTGTAGGGAGGAAGGAAGCAATCCCTATAAATAGATACTAGGAATGCATATGTATATGGTGAATTTAATTAATTTTCCCTTAAGCTTCATCATCTTTAATGATACAGCTTAGTAACATCTGTGCATTTTTATATTGCTTACTGTTGACTGCAGCGAGGTGAATGTCTTCTGGAAAACAGTCATTGTACACGCAGGAGGGTTTCAGAATTCCCTGCTACCATGAAGCCATTCATTGTCCTGTCAGTGGTAAGAAAATGATACTACAGCTAAGTTCCTTTGCATTCCAATTTGTAACTAAGATGTTAATTACCATGGAATCTGTGTAGCTGATCGCAAAAAACTCTGTAAGAGTATGAAAAATACAACTGTTAACAGCATTAAGATCTCTGCTTAGGTGCGTATCTGACTTTTAAGGGAGGAGGTTCCTATTTCACACACCACTGTCAGGGGTTTTTGCTGTTCTGGGTTTTAAACACGGCCTTGCTTTATGGATGAGCAGGTAGACTCTGGAAGGTACTGTCAGGACAAGTTTTGGTCTTAGCTTTTGTTCATCCTGGAGTTGAGAAACTTTGTCCTGTATCAGAAGCGAGATGATCAAAGGCTGATATATTGGGTTTCTTGATACAAAAAGAATGCTTGCTACCCCTGTATTATTGAGCCTGAAAGAATGGAGGCACCTCATGTCTTGTAATCTCATGGTGTTGGTACCAGGAAGGAGACCTATCTCTGAGTTACGAGATCCTACAGCACTGAGTGTTTTGCTTTAATGGAATCAGAACCTTTCTCAAAACAACATAGGAAAGTTGGGTTTTTTTTGTCTAAATGCTTCATTGGCTTGCTAGGCTTCTTTAGCTGTAAACTGCCGGTGCCCATGGGGAAGATGCTGGAAAACAAAATGATGATATATTTTAATGTGATTAAATTGTAAGTTCTGATTTTTGCTTGAAGCCTGTGTCAATTGCTGCTCCTTTGTTTTATTATTCATGGGATTCCATATTTCTTCCAGAAATGTAACTGTTTATGCAAGTCAAGTGAATCTTCCTTAATGAGCTATAAGTTTTTATTCTAAACAAGTCATTTATAATAGTAAATTTGCATATCTTGATATTTTGTGAGATGTTATGCCTGTATTGCAGAGGTTGGATAGTTTTGTCTATAAATATTGCTGTCCTAATTGTACAGCATGGTTTTAATTTAATGTTACTGTTCAATATTTTCTTCTTATAGAAGAGTCCCATGCCCCTTTTTTTGTATAACATGTTTTAATAAATGTTACCTGTCAACTTTGTAAATGTTTTCTTAAGCTTGAATGAAAGGAATGCATGTCTAGTACTAGTATTTAATATTTCACTTTTGCCAAAACGATAAGTGCTCAAACAAAAGTACAAATCCAGAAGTTGTTGATATATAACTTTATTAAATATATAAAGAAAAAGTGTGTCTAGTAACGTGTCTTCTTGAAACACTGAGAACATGCCAGCCTGGCCGAAGACAACACTAGAACCTGATTCTCCTAACACAGCAGATGGATGATTGAGCACATTTCTTTGGTGCTGAGCTAGTTGCCATTCCTGTGCCTGTTGTGCCCCCGGGTCAGGGTGCTGCCCTAGGCTTCTCCTTTATCTGGTAACCATTCAACACCTCTTCTATCTGTTCTACAGCGAGAGGATGACACCCCTCGGAGATGATGTCCGAGACCGGACCATGTGGGTGCTCTGGCGATATCCACTGGCACCAGGCTCCTGACTCATACCATGAGCTGTGTGGTGCAGCAGTGAATCCACCAGCACGTGCAGGATGCCAGTCAATGAGTGAGGGGTAAGGGTGGAGGGACACAGGCGAACTCTTAACTCCTCCCTTGCACTGCTCGGTGCAGGCAGGAGCTCACCGCGGATTAGGGCTGCTCTGCACACACACAGAGCCGGGTATGCCCGAGCCCAGACCCCACGGGAGGCAGTTCCAGCCGTGCGCGCTCCCCCGGAGCGCTCAGCCGCTCACGGTGATCCCCACCGCTTTCGTTCTCCTCTCCTACCATTGCCCACTTGCGGCGCGTTTCTAACAGCGCGACACCAACCTCAGCGCCGGGAGCGGCTCTGCCCCGCACGGCCTCGCTTCAACCTTAAACGCTCTCACGGCCGCACACGCGAGGTCGCGGCCGGGCCCGTCCCGTCCCGGTGCACCGGCAGCTCCGCCCGCCGCACGTCACCAGGAAGCGGAAGCGCTGCCAGCGGAATCAGTTCCGGGTGCGAGGAGCTGTGGGAGCGGGCGGGAAGCGGCGGTGGGAGCGGGCCGGAGCCGGGCCGGGGACCCGCCATGTGAGAGGCGCTGACAGCTTCGGGTGAGCGGCAGGCGGGCCGGCGCGGTGCGGAGGGAGCTTGGCCCGGGGGCCGGCGCGGCGCTCCCGTGCGGGACGAAGCCGTTCTGCGGGGCGGGGGGGGGGGTTGTCCCGGTGCACTGACAGGCCCCGTAGGGGCGGCGGCTGCGGGACGAGAGGCCGGGACGCGGCGAGGGGCCCGTCTGGGAGCGGTGTCAGCGGCTCCCGCTGGGGCTGCGCTGCCCCCAGCCTCGCCTCGCCTGGAGCCGGCGCCGCGTAACCCGAGTCCGTGTCTCCGGCGCGCTCTCGGCTTGTCAGCGGGGCGGGCCGGGGCCGGTGTGAGCTCCGGCCGCTGCTGGTCGGTGGGGGAAGCCCCGGTCCCTGTCAGCGCCCTTCAAAACCTCGGCAGCTGCGCGCAGAGTTGGGTTGATTTTAGAGTAAACCGAAGCCGAGCGTGAGGCTGGAAGAAGCCCGAGAGGTGCGAGAGACACTGATATGGGAGAGCCGGGCTGGCACAGGATTAGCTGCACCGCAGCTTGTGACGGAGCTCCCGGAGTGTGGGGTTGGGGTGTGCCGGTGCCTCGTTGCCTGGTCGGGGAGAGCTGCCCAGTGTTGAGCCTGTCAGAAGTAACGGGCGGGGACAGCACCATGAAACGTGTTTGTCAGAGCTGCTTTACATCTACTGCGGAAAACGTTGCTGATAGCTAGAGAATACAGGTACTTCCTGGGTTAAAAGAAACACTGGTGCCTGACAGTTGTGATCTGAGGAAGAGGGACTGGGTAAAATAAAAGAACGAGTAGATAGATTAAAATGCATAATAGGAACCAAGTATTACATCGGTAGCACATAACTTATTGCAATAGCGGAAGATACAAAAACCTTCTCCTCTCCCACCCCACTTAAAATTCTGGGGGTGTGTATGTATTTCGAGTCTCATGCTGTCAGCTAAAGAGGTTCCTTCCTACTGACAGTGACTTCTGGAAGCCCGCAGCTCAGAGTTGTCAGTGCTCACAAAGTGTGGGCAGTAGCTGTTTAGGTTTATATAGCGTGTATCTAATGAAATTGATGCACAAAATAAGTTTGTGATCATCACTTGTAGGGTCTTGTCACATCACTTCTGTAGTAACTTCCAGAGCTAGAATGTAGAGATGATCTGCACTGATGTTGCAGTTGTTGGATGAAGCTTTGTTTATGCATCAATGGTTGTTTCATTTCTTACTCTTTTAATCACTTCCACACAGGCAATTGTAAGGAAGACAATTTGAGACTAAGGGACGAAGGTTGGACTTCAGTTTCACAACTGCTTTCTTTGGATATTTGCTCAAATAAGAGTCGCCTGGTTTATTTGTTTTGCTTTGGGTTGTTTGGGGTTTTTTTCTATGAAACGCTAAATTTGCACTTCCAATAATTTCCCCTCTTGCACCATGCTAAGCATTGAGCTTAGGTTTGTAGCATTATTATTAGTGTGTGTGTGTGTATACACACATAAATAATTGTTTTTAATTTGGTTATTAAAATCACCCCCTCCTTCAAGTGATTTTCTGTTCATCACATTGTAAATGTTGGTGAGGTAAAAATAAACACTTTTCAGCTGTTGTTAGGCAAAAGGCTGAATTAGTAGAAATACCCCTGCCCAGAGTGGAGGGGTTTGATGTGCCACTCACCCCTGCAAGTGATGGGACTGTGTGTCCTGCTATGCTCCTTGCCTGGCAGACAGGACTTTTACCCTTGGTTTCACTGTGGATGTTTGGTACTTTGTGTCTGCAGAGGAGGGATGATGACATTGACTTTCACTGTTATTGTTCTGATACCTACTGATAAAATTGTGCAAGAACAATGTTTTCTAGTAACTACATTTCGGCCTGTACTGACTGGCTTCAGTTTCTGAGGAAACTGGGGGGTTCCTGCATTTTTATGAGGGAATTTATTGAGGCTTTAAATTGTTCTGTAGTCTCTGCTACAGATTCTATATTTTAGTCTAAAACAGAAGTGAAGCAGACTCATTTCAGAGCTGGTTTCTGATTAATAATAAGACATATGCACCTTTTATTGTATGCTTACTACAGGTAATTCACTATTTCAAGTGTTGGCTGAACTGTCTATATTTCCTCCGATTCCAACAGCCGCTTTTTTTTGCTTATTTCAGACTTTCCCAAACATAATGCACTTTAGAATCAAAATTATAGTGATTTGCAAATGGTTGACAATTGGAGGAATGAGGATTTGAATCCTGTTTTGTTAAGAAAGGAACTAATGGCTTCCATAGCCATTTATTTTTGAGAGATGTGGTCATTTCCACAACTTTTGTATTGCTCTGATATTGGACTACTAGAAAGGTAGCGTAGTTCTCATTTGGGGTTTTTTTGAGGGGTAATGCTTTTGCATCAAGAATTTACTGTAGACTGTTTAAAATAGTACTGAGCTTACCAACAGTGTAGGCAGGGAGTTTATGTAGAGACACAGGCTTGTGCAAGCTGGTTTTAATCATCCTGGCAGTTTCATTTACCTGTTAGAGGTGAATCTAACAGAATGATGTGTTGAACTGAGCTGGAAAGGGGTTTCAGATCACTGGAGGTATAAAAGATGCCATAAATAAAGTGCATTTTATCCTATTGGAGATGCTGCAAACAAAATGAAGTTTTCGTGCTGCAACAGAAATGTTAACAGAATGTTCTGTTGTGCTGTAGCATCTCTTAGGATCTGTATATCGCCTTTGTTAAGTTTCCACCTGAGTCCATGATTGTCACTTATTCTGAGGTATCAAATTTTTGTGTCTATATGTAGCTGTCTCTTCAATGTGTCTAAGTTTAAATGTATTTGAGTTTAAAAACAAGGAATGCAAATCAACCTAAGCAAAGATTCTTGTTTGATTTATTCTTCTATGGCTGATAATGCTTCTAAAATTCAGCTTTGTAATTCCCTGAAAACCCTTCTTCACAAAAGGAGAGTATAAATAAGAGCGATTTAGGAGACTGTATTGTTTGACATGACAAAGATTTGAGCACTAAGTACATACTTATTTAATGTTCCATTCGAGGGAAGCTTTGAAAGAAAATGGATGAAGCTATTACTTTATGTGGTCAGGAAGATACTTGCAATTTTATCACCAATCTTAAAGCCTATTGCTTTGTGTTTTCTTTGGTTTTAGTTAATATCCATGTGCTTGTGAATTACTGCTATCAGGTAACATCTAGATGACCAAATTCAGAGTAAGGTTTCAACAGCTTTTTGCTTGTCAGAATGCTATGACTTAGCTGATAAATAATATGTTAAAGAGCTTTTAAATGTTAGTTCTATGTAGTGCAGTCAAAGTTTAGAAAAATCTAGTTAGTACACAAAGACTTATTTTATAGGTCTCTTCCATTAAGCTCCAAGTGTTTCCTTAAGTGCCAAGTGGAAACATTCCCCCAGTCATTCTTTCTGTGGTTGGAAGGAGTTGTTTTAATTTTATATAGATGTCTATGCATGGCTCTGATTTTAGTGCATAAATTACACTGAGAAGTGTGTCATTAGGTATATTTTCTGTCACCAGGAGGATGCCTCTGGCAGTGTGTTATACAGAGCACGAAATAGACTGCATGGATGAGCTGGGAATACACAAGACTCTGTTTGTAGTATTCATTGTGTGTGTTTCTGGAAAAACCTTTAGGGCAATTGATTTTTAAATCTATAGAAAATAGCAGAATCTGATCATCTCACCTGAGATAAATATAATTTAGTTTCCTTCATGATCTTTAAAGGCTGGAGAGTTCTTAAGAAAATGGCTGCTTGAATTTAGGAAGAATTGATGCAAAACCCAATGCTACATATTTACCTGCCTATATTGTTGTATTACTAAAAGTATGCTATAGTTCTGCACAAAATCGTCTCAGTTGTTGGGAGAGTAGCTTGCCTTTTTACATTATTTATTTGTTTGTTTATTAATGCCTGTGATACTAAAATCTGTCTCCTCACTGTAGGGAAGCTGACCATGCTTCAGAGCCAGATTTTCAGCAAGGCAGCAGCGCTGTGTGTCACACTACATTAAGGCCATGCAAGGGCACTCTGCTGTATGTTGACTTTTCAAAGAGAATAGTACTTCACTGTTACGTGTATGAACTTGCAAAAGACTGTATGATTGGTTTCTTTCCTGATTTCAAAGATTATTTAAAGAGGACTCTTAGGAATGCCCCTAGACTGAAGTACCTGATTGTAGTTTTCCTTTGGTACAGTTAATTATTGTGGCTGCTGTAATCTGAAAACAAAGGCAAATTTGAAACGCAAATTTAAACAGAAAGGAGTGAGGGTGATGAAGATTTTTGCCCTAAATCTTCCCTGATCACAGATAAAACTTATATTCTTAGGTTAAGATTCTCTTGAATACATTTTTGCAATGATGTCTTTCACAGCTGGTGTAGTAAACACTCACTGCTCCAAAATGCAAGTGAGGAGTATAGTGCTTTGTAGAAATGGCTGTTTCTTTCCTTGCTTTTTCTCTGTATACTGAGCAGTAATGCATGGAGTATCCATTCTTGGCGTCATGGAGCACTTCTCTTGTTTTACTCTTAATTTTTGTTATGATCCTCTTAACTTTTCTATGTATTTCAGTTTTCAGACACAGCTGTGATTTGTAATGTCTGTTTTCTCCCCAAGGAGCCCATGTTGCTGAGCTAACTAAAGAAAATGCAGGGGATTTTTTCTCACACCTTTGTGTGAGTTCAGATGAGCAGAATTTGTATTACTCACCTGTCCATGATAACAGCAAATCATACATCAGTGGTGAATGAAATTAAACAGGTGCAGACTTAGAAGCAGAAACTAATACGGCGCTGGCAGACACACAGCTTCATGTTGTAGTTATATGATGCTTCCCTGCTGCTACTGTATGATGTCAGTAAAATTAAAATGCTGAATGTGTTTTGTCACCATCTATTCTTGGATTTTTAAGTGAAACAAGAGCTTTTCTAGAACATAATTTTGAAAGTAAGTTTCTTTTGAAATCTAATGTGAAATGTTAAATGTGTATCATATCACTCTGATGTTCACAGGTTACTGCAATGAACTCTGTTGTTTGAAGACGCAGGGCAGCAATCCACTACTAGTACATGCATACTATGGTCTGTATTTGCTGTGTCAGACCCTGATGAATAAATGTAATGCAGGCGTGAAGAGAACTGATACGATTCTTTTGGGTGTGACTGGATCATCTCCTACAGAAATAGACAGGAGGCTCAACACCGAGCCCTGCTAAGACTTAGTGAACTTGGTGTCCAGCTCTGGCCTGTGCTTTAAAGCAAGAAAGCCTTTAGCCAATTTCTTGGATATATAACATCTATAAAAACCTCAAATACTTTGATCTGCTTATGCAGGAAGGTTGAGAGAGGACCTGTTCATAGCCCAGTGCCCAGAGGTGGACTTAAATTTCATAGGACTTTAACCTAACTTTGCACTCCGCCGCAGGCAGGGGTGGAAGCTAAAGCAAGACAAAATGCATTACTTTTTAACCATGAGAGCACCTGACATTGCTATGACTCACGTTAGTTCACACTACCCTTCAAATGCTTGAATTTGTATAATACAAATAAAATTGTCTTCATTCTGAACTTTTGGTATGTCCAAAACTAATTTGTGCTTTAGAGTATCTTTCTGCTACTCTCCACCCCAAGAGAAGAGCTTAGGGAAACCTTTCAGCTTGGAGGAAGCTGTTAAAAAATTGGAGGAATAAATAAGATCATTCTTCTATTATTCGTCAATAAAACACTGCAAGTGGTGCCTGCTCTGGCATGTGTAATGCCAGATTTTTCCTCAGGTCTTGCCTTCCCAAGCTGATACAATGAAGTTGGAATACCCCAGCAAAATCACTGTAGTCTCAGCACTGTTCCTGCTGCAATCCTGCCTTAATGAACCCTGAATGTGGAGTTCACTGGCATCCTTGTCAGTTCCTGGACTGCTTCAACTAGAGATTTCAGAGTCTGACTGGAAGTGAGGAAAGGGTTTCTCTTCTGCCAAGTGCTGCTGCTGGTCTAAATTCTTGTCATTTAACCCCAGCTTTCTACAGATGTTTTCAAGGTCACAGGAAGGGTATGTCTTCCAAGGAGACTAAGGTGGAAAAGTAGTCACAAGTGCATGCTGTGGCTTGTTTGCTTTCAAGAGCAGATGGGTAGAGAAACTCATTATCCACTGCTTTTGGGGCTGTGTTTTCTGTACTTGATCTGTTTGCTTTCAGAGCAATCCTGTATATTCCCTTGATCCCTCTTTCTGTTTTTTTACTGCTTACATTGCCAGCCACACTTGCAGACTTTTAGCTCTATCATTTTTCCCACTCACTACCAGGATTTGTGGTTTTTACTCCTAACATTTTAAGGAAAATAAACTGCTTTGTTTCCTAAAAGAAATATTAAATAAATCTGAGAACAAGGATGTAGAATTACTTGTGGACATTGCCTATTGACATAATTGGGTGTTCTAGAAGAGCTGTGATATGCAAGGATCACTGTGAATCCCTTTCCTCTTTATGTCAGGGATATGTTCCTCTCTTCCTGCTTCTCATGCATTCTCTGGGATGTGGTCACAGTCCTTTTTCAATGTGTGGCCATGTCCTAGGGAATGTGAATTCATTTAGAGATACTAAGATGCCATGATCAAAAGAACATTTCTTTTTTTCTCAATGGTAAGGCATAAAATGTCCATTTTCCTTCTACTGAGGTACCTGTCCTTCATTCGTTCCTTCTGTCTGGACTGGTGCAAGTGGTGACAATTTGTATTTTAATATTTTGTGTAGGACTAAGTTGTTCTCCATTTTGCTGAGTAAGAGCCCATAGGGAAGTATGAGGCAAAGAGGAAGGCCACTTTCTGTATATGAAAAGCATATGAATGTGCAAGCTTAGTAAAGAGAAACTTAATCAGGAATGTCCTGGTGTCCCATCTGTGCAGAGCTCATAAGCCCCACACCTAAGGGTAGGGACCTGTGTTGGGTTTATATGGAAGCCTGCTGCCCTGTCAGGTGAGCAACAACCTGACAAACATGTATCCTGACTTCTGAAACTTGTCTTCCCAGTGGCATGGGTACATCTGGCAGGGACTCGAGCAGTGGCTCCCTGCATCATGTACAGGGATGCTCAGTAGCACAGTTGAGGTTGCTGTTTAACTACACCTCTGTTACGCCGGGGTTTGTTTGTTGTAATGTTTGATTTCTGACCTGTGTCTGACTTGCATCAACTCACGAGCTCTGAATCATTTCGTGGCTTTGTTGCCCTGCCAAAGGTATTTTTGTATAGATAGCTGTGATTATAGTGCTTCTGCTAACCACCTTCTAGTCCTTATTTCCCTCAGCAGATGAAAGAGCACATAAATCGCCTTTTGTCTTGCATTCACGTAACAACTGTAAAAACTCAAATGACGTCTGGTTTAGCCGTTTTAATCTCTGACCCACTGGTATCTTACAGAACATGTTCAGCAACTCTGACAACCTGATTTTGAATGCTTTATGAGAGGTTTAGGCTATTTCGAAGTCAGACATAATAAGTCAGGAAGCTGGCTGTCTTGTTTCTCTGCTGAAAAGAAGTTCCATTTGTGGAGGTTATGAATGTTAGTTTTAAGTGACAGTCAGCTGATACAGCACCAGCTCCTCCTTGCAGGCTTTTTACCATATTCCTATCTGTTGATTTTGTTTTTAGAGTGTCTGAATTTTCATCATTTGATTTAAATTGTTCATATGTCCCATTACAGCATGTAACATAAGACATAAATAGAAAAAAATATCCACTAGTATGTTGTGATACATTGGACATGCTTCCTGCGTCAGAAGTCAATGGATGATGTTGAGATCTGTTTATGCAGTTGGAAAAACAGGTATGATGGCAATATTATGTGTTTAGACTTCTGCATTAGTAAGAATGAGAATAGCAATAAAAGCCTGAAGATTTGGGGGGCACTGGATTAGGCCCAGTCTTGGAAATGTAGGGTGGTCTCTGATGCAGTGAGACACACTCAGGGGGACAAGCATGTGTGTGCTTTTTGTGATAATACTCCATGAAAAATCGGTAATATCCTTTAGATCTTGTTTTGAAATGTATACATCTCCCTACAGCCTCTGGGAACATTCTTTCCCAGTGTATCAGGCAAGTTGGCTTCTGAGTTAGAGTTCAAATGTCAGGTGATTGTAGCTAGGAAATCGTGTCTGTGTCAGATGGGCTTCAACGTTCACATCATGGTTGGTCTAAAAAAAATCACAAAAGGAGATTTAAAAAGCTTGAGAGTCCCTGGGTAGCTCCAGAGCTTTCCCTTCAAACACTGCCTTACAGCTTGACCCAAATTCAGTATTATCTGGGAACCTCTGACACACTGGGTAAATAGTTTGGAACTGAGTCCACACTTAAATGTTTCCTTTTACCAGGATTTCCTTGCTTTGTGATGTGTATATTGAAAGATTGATTTTTACTTTTTTTAAGTAATTGTGCAGTTTAATTTCTAAGGAGGTAAATGTGTAAACAGAAATGTCCCTGTGCAGTGTATTCATCTTCTCTGAGATAACCTTGACATATCTAGACTTAAATGTTTTTAAACTACATTTGTATGTGTGCGCGCACACACACATCCCTGTCGCTTTCCTTTAGCAGGTTTTTCAAACCTTATAAAGTACCTTCCAAAGATGATTCTTGGGCAATTTAACAATGAAAGTATCAATGTTGTATCTGACCTGAACACCTCCTAAAGCTTCTGAAGTTTTTAACTTGCCTAGAGTTAGATCAGAGTGAAATCAGAATTCCTTTGAGGACATAGACTGTCCCAGGGAGCCTGGGATGGATTATGAGCATTGAATTGTGAATGTTGCACAGGGATAATTCAAATTATAGAAATACAAGAAATGGGTAGATTAAAACTTAACTTTTTGTATTATAACAAGTGTTTATAGCAACTGTTTTGTTGTAATGCACCTTAAAGAGATAAATGTGGTGATTTAACTTCAAAATGTGCATTTATTTTTTTAAATGGAAAACTCTGCATTCATTCTCAGCTGCAAATCTTCTCATTTTTCTTTCAGATTACTCTTTCCATCAGTAGAAATGGACAGCAGCAGTTTCATTCAGTTTGATGTGCCCGAGTACAGCAACACTGTTCTGAGCCAGTTGAACGAGCTCCGCCTGCAAGGGAAGCTATGTGACATAATTGTGCATATTCAGGGTCAGCCATTTCGAGCCCATAAAGCTGTCTTAGCTGCTAGTTCTCCGTATTTCCGTGACCATTCAGCGCTGAGCACCATGAGTGGCTTATCAATATCAGTTATTAAAAACCCCAATGTTTTTGAACAGTTGCTTTCTTTTTGTTACACTGGAAGGATGTCCTTACAGCTGAAGGATGTTGTTAGTTTTCTAACTGCAGCTAGCTTTCTACAGATGCAGTGCGTCATTGATAAATGCACACAGATACTGGAGAGTATTCATTCGAAGATCAGTGTCGGTGATGTTGACTCTGTCACTGTTGGTGCTGAAGAAAATCCTGAAAATCGCAATGGAGTTAAGGACAGCAGCTACTTTGCCAATCCCATTGAGATATCTCCCCCCTATTGCTCTCAGGTGCGACAGTCAACAGCAGGCAGCGATCTTCGGATGGAAACTACTCCAGGCAAAACTCTACGTAGTCGTCTGCAAGAAGAAGGGCATTCAGATCGAGGAAGCAGTGGGAGTATCTCTGAATATGAGATTCAGATTGAAGGTGATCATGAGCAAGGAGACCTGATAGTAAGGGAAAGTCAGATTGCAGAGGTGAAAGTTAAAATGGAGAAGTCTGACAGGCCAAGCTGCTCTGATAGCTCTTCGCTTGGTGATGATGGATATCATACTGAAATGGTGGATGGAGAGCAAGTGGTAGCCGTAAATGTTGGTTCCTATGGGTCTGTCTTACAACATGTTTATTCGTTTTCCCATGCCTCATCACAGGCTACAGGTATGTCAGAAACCTTCGGAAGCCTGAGCAATACGAGTCCTTCCAGGTCAATGCTAAGCTGTTTCAGAGGGGGTCGCGCACGCCAGAAACGGGTATCCACTGGTCACTTGCACAGTGATGTTCAGGGCTTGGTGCAAGGGGCTGACAGTGAATCCATGGTGAGTAACCCAGGATATGAAAACAGTCCACGGGAAAGAAACGCAAGAGGTCATTGGTATCCATACAACGAGAGGCTGATCTGTATCTACTGTGGAAAGTCTTTCAACCAGAAAGGGAGCCTTGATCGACACATGCGATTGCACATGGGAATAACTCCTTTCGTGTGCAAGTTCTGTGGGAAGAAATACACCCGCAAGGACCAACTTGAGTATCATATTCGTGGTCACACAGATGACAAGCCCTTTCGCTGTGAGATCTGTGGAAAATGTTTTCCTTTCCAGGGTACACTCAACCAGCACTTGCGAAAAAATCACCCTGGAGTAACAGAAGTAAGAACCAGGGTAGAGTCTCCGGACAGAACAGAAGCATTTGCGGAACAGAAAGTAGATAATGATGCTTCAGCTTCTGAAGCTATGGATTCTAGTATGGAAATTCATGCAATGTCTAACGCATCTGATTAAAATACTACATTCTTAGTGCAACACAAACAAGCACATTACTAATGTATTTTTAAAATATATTATTCTTTTAGTAATCTTCAGTACAAGTATAACAGCTGTTTAATTTTCCTGACCTTCTGGAAATCAGTTTGAAATGGTTTCTGGAGAAGACTACATAAGTATTCTTTGTTTTTGAAGGAGGCTGGGTTGGTTGTTGTTTTGTTGGGGGGGATTGTTTTGTTTTATTTTACTTTTGAAGATGCTCAAAATCTGAAAGACAGTGTGCTGGGGAAAGCATAGAAAGAGTCTCCTAAAGTGTCCCTACTGGTTGATCTGGCAAGACACAAATTCCAGTGGAGAAAGATATTAGAAAAAGATTGGCAGCTCTGCTGGGTACACCAGGAAGCTGTAATCTTCCCTTATTTTATTTCTGAAGCCCTGTTGCTGGTAATGAGTTACACAGCAGTGGGGGGAGAGAGTATTACAGCTTTGGTTCGTTCCGTGTGTCAGGATGAAATCTGTTTGCTTTTACTAACTGTTTTTGGTAGTTAGTCTGTTTATATATATAAATTTGCTTTATATATATAAAATGCTTTCACTTTTCCTATTCTGGTTGAGGTGAATGTAAAAGTATGTTAAGGTTTATACCATGTACCACTCTTGCAACTGCTAGGTCTCCTCTCTGCTTAGGATTTAGAACTTCGGACTTTGGGAGGATGGTTTTGGTTTTAAAAGAATGTTGTTTGGTTTTCATTTTATTCAACTATTACTTTGTGTGCAAAAGTGAGCAAAGCGAATTACCTTGGTTTAATAGCTTTGCTTTATAACATATATAAACCAAATGCCATAAATCTATTAAATTATGGTTAAATTGTTGAGGGGTTATGTTAGTTGTCTAGAATGCAAGCTGGACAACCTGTGGTGCTGACCTTTTTATATATATAGAGATAGATATATCTATATATATATATATCTTAAAAAGAAATATTAGCAAACCTAAAAGTAGCATTGTGGTTTTAAATGTGTTTTTACTGGCCTCAGAATCTACCTTCATTTTGTACTGTAGAACCATACCAGGTAACTAAATTTAACTTCATCACTCTTTGTGGTTGGTTAAAACCTGAGAGCGATGTTGTTAACTACAGTATTTCCAAGCAGTGTTTTAATAGGTCTCTTCACAGAGAGCTGTTTTCAGGTGCACATTGACTTCCTACTTAAAGCTCCAAGTGGTATGTCAGCACTTGGAATTTGTACTTTTCTTTTGTATAAAAAAACAAATACGCTACGGGAATTTCAAGCAATATGTCTGTTATTTCATGTGTGAGTATTACAGAGTTGCTATGGCTTCCCTACTATTTTCCGTGGTTGTTTTCTGCATAAAGGAACTACCAACAACTTTTAATATACTCTAAATCTTTTTGTTTCACCAAATGTGTTTTATTAATATGGTGCTAACTTTGTCATTTAGGTCAGTATAATATATAAAATGTGAAGCATAATGGTAACAGTTAAACAAAAGAAAAAAAAGGAAAAAAAAATACCCAAACCCACCACCAAACCAACCAGAAAATCCCCACCCCAAACAAGCCCCAACAAAAAAAAACAGTAATAGCCTAAGAAACCTCAAAAGCATGAACTGGCAAACACTACTGTGTAAAATTCTACCTGATGAACAGAATTAATCACGTGCTTCTTTAAAATACAGGCTTTGTATAATTGGGCCTTAATGTTTGTTTAGCAAATATTGAAAATCTATCTGTGAATATGCTGTTTAACTCCTGAAATTCAGAAAAGAAAAGTTCATTCCTAAATCACAGGAAAGCAAAAAGGTAGGTTTGCTACCTTGTCAAGCTTTTCCGGCTCCTGTGAAGTTGGGGCATATTTGTGCAGTAGCTTTATTAAATACACTAGTTCTTAATATTGTGACAGTCTGCAATAAGAATTAATTTCACTCAGTACAGACTTACAGTCTAAGCCCCACCTGCTCCACTGGAGCAGTTAATTTCAGTACAGGATTTGCCTCTTTTGTCCTAAAATCTGCCTCGCTACAGAGGCAAAGGGTGGGGAGATGTTTCTCTCTTTGAAGCAACAATAGAACTTCTGTTTCCAGTAAGGGAAAATCTATGTCTGTGTCTAGGGAAGATAGTCTATGTGTTTACCCACTTAAAAACATGTTGGTGTTTCTGATACTGTTTTTTTTTCTGAATGTTTTAAGTAATTAAATACAAAAACAAAAAAAAATTAAAAAAATGTGTTTTGACAAATGAAGTTTGAGACATGCAAAATCCAAGAAATGTACAGTTATTCTTCACCCTTTATCTTGGACCTGTGCTGTGGTGCCTTTGGTGTGACCTTTTTCCATGGAAGTATGAGTTGAGGATAGCAGGATGTGGGTACTAATTTTATATTTCTTGAATTTCTCCATGTCACAATCTGAACATTATTTAAATCTTGTTCTTTGTATTTGTAAATGTATTAAAATGGTTTGAGTTTACCAAAGAGTGACTTATCCAAAATTGTCTCTGACAAAAAACAAACAAACAAACAAAAAAACCAACATCACTTTGATTGTACAGGTTCAGGTTCAAAACATTGTAACAGGACTGTTAAGGGGCAGGAAATGATCACTTTTTCTACAAACTCATGATTCAGCAGTGCAAGTTCTGCTTGCTCCTGTTCTTGTGGATGCGCCATTTACCCTTTCCACTGCTAGCAGTGTTAATAATTATCAAGCCATAACACAGTACTGTAAAGTCCAGCAGTGCTTCAAAGGATGCATACGTAGGTGAGCATAAAACATCATCCAGCATTTACATTGACACTTACCAAGTGTGTAACTCTGGTAGAAAACGAACTTCAAACCTGGCAACATCAATTAAATTGTGCCTTGTCACATAGTGGTATGCCAGGATGAACATTTTCATGGAACATGAAGCATTAAGTGATTGAAGTTCATTTCACAAGTCCACCGAAACAGAGTATGCTGTGTTATTTTAAGTGAATGATGGAAGTACTGTACAGTGTCATGTGTCTGTACAGTTTTAAGTTAGCACAGAGCGGTTACACATTTCATTTACAATAAATGCAGAAGTCAAAAAAAATATGTGAAGAAATATTTGACAGCAGAATAAATCATGAAATTATATAGGCTGGTTCATAATTGAGTCTCTTCTTAATCTACCTTTTTAATTATAGAAAAATGTGAAAACAGTGACAGTGTCCTTTCCTCTAGATGTTTAACCTATTATGACAAACTGTGAAAATAAAGGATTTTATACCTTTGCTAATGTTTGTGGTTTTAAACAGCTATTTTAGTTTTCTTAAATCAGTTATCTTCCATATTGTTTCTTTTAAACTTGTAAATACATTTAGAAAACAGCTTTGTAAATACAGTGTATTAAAGTTCAGTTTGGTCACTAAGGCCTCAAGATTGGCTCGGCAATTTTAGTGTGAAATCTTTCAACAGCATAAAGGATACTGTCAGTTCACTGTTCAGCAGGATATACTGTAGGCCTAAATTAGTAGTTCTTAATGCAGTCTTCCCAAGCATAAATTCATGTTTTTATGCTGAAGCCTTTGGTTTACTTTCAGACAAAACAATGAGGCCTCCTAATATGTTTATGGGAAGAACAGCAGGAGTAAAATCAAGGGCTGGGAAAAGATCGAATGAGCTTTACCTTTAAATATATATATATATATCTTATTTGAATTTTTGTATTAGTTTACTGTGATTCTTTTATTGTCATTTTTCTAAACAGGTTTCACATGAAACCATTGAAAGGGACTCAAATATGCAACACCTAATCTATTTTCCAAGGGAATTTTTCCCTTGAATGGTGCTTTTTGACTGGTCAGGGTTATTTATTAAATTTTATATTTGAAAGTATTTCGGGAATTATGTAAATTCTTTATATGAATCTGTTTATTTCATGAATTGTAAATTTCATAATACTCAGTGATTGAATCGGAAGTTTAGTAAAGTCATTCAAAATGTTCAAAGTTTATATAATCTGTGTGCATTTTACATATATTTTAACAAGTGCCAGGATAGTTGTATTTAATATTGTAGATATAAAACTACTTGCACATCCCTGTGACAGCATTAACTTATGAGAGTTTACATTTTTTAAAAGAAATGCTAAACAAACAAGTAAACCTGAGAGCCGTGTCCTGCGTTTCTTCAGGGGGTGTGAAGCTGAGTGTCAGGAACAGAGCAGGTTCACTTCTAGTTCATGAAACTCCTGCTCTGGTGGCTACAAGAAACTGCTGTCTTCTCCCATTCATATATATACACTATGAAGTCAGCCTCTGGGCTTGTATTGCAAGCCTCTGGTTATGTATCTGGTTAGAGGTAGAGCTCTTGCACGATTTAACAGTGTTTGTTTCTGACTGAAAAATGGTATTTTTAAATAACTTTTATTTGTATGGTTGTTTTTCATGAGAAATAATTGAACAGTTTGAATGACTTGACTTGGTGTCATTATCTTGCAATATAAACCGGTAACCTCACAACTCCACACTTCATCACCATATGAAGTAAATGAAGCTAGCTAAGCTGATGCTGTAACAATAAATAACTTGCCATTAAGGATTATTTTATAGCATGAATTTTAAAATATTTATTCAAATGATATTTTACTCTTGTATTCACTTTGGTTTTAGATTTGTGACATGAATATTTCAGTGCTGCTTTATTTTGTTCTGATGAATTTGTTTCTTGCTTGTAAATTGCCTTTTTTATGGTATAAAGTCAATGGGAATTGCTGTTTGTAAATTAAAATGCTTCTAGAGCAAATCTATGGTGTCAGTGTCTACATTTAGGTATTTAATTGCTAAGGAACTTGCATTTTAGATGCTTTTCCTGAAGCGTTATAAGAAGCTGTGGTTTAATACTCATGTACCAACTAGTAATCGCAACTCCTGAGAGACAGACTACTCCTGAAGTTTCTCCTTTTTGCCAGCATTGCTAGTTTAGTCCTGAACAAATGGAGTTTTGTGCTCCAAACCCTTGTCCAGCTCTCAGAGCAAAACAAAACCCCAGCTGGGTGATGGCAGTCTGCCTTGCACTGAGCCAAAGGCAAGTCACTTGGGCTGGGGGTCATGTTTCTTTTTGACAGCAGCATTTGCATTTTATGTTATGCTGTATGTAAGAGTAGAGCTAATTCTGTCCTCAGCAAGCATAAGGGTACAGCTCCTCCTAGCCCATGATCTTGAACTGAAGCTACTTTCTGCTGATAGCCCAGCCTTAACTTGCTTCATGGCAGCTGGCTGTTGACAGCTCTCTAAGTGCCTTTGTAACAAGCAGCTTCTTGGAGGAGTTAATATATCCTCAACCAAGTTGTATACTACCAGTGATTTGCTGAGACACTTATCCTTCCTGGGACAACTGGAATTCTGCAGAAAGAATTCTTGCTTTATATTAATGGAAACACAGATGATACTATTAAATTTGGTTAAAATTTACCATCATCATTGCCAGTATTTTATTGTGAGAGATGTATGCCAGAAAAGACTTTTGTTCTCTAATAAAGCTGAATTAAATTTAAATAGGTTTTAAACTCATGTGGTGGCAAAGGGTGTGTTTGTCTAATGCTAATGCAGCTGAAGGAAAGGATGTAGCTATCTTTACTGGCCTTGGGGTTTTGGGGAGTGGGAGGTTGGGTGGTATGGACAGATTGAGGAAGATAAACCATTTCAGCAAAACATCTGCTCAAATCCCCTTGCTTATGTGGACTGAAAACGTGATATAGAATGGGGTAAAGAAGACATGAGTGCTAGGAGAAGAATAAATGTAATGTTGCTTTGACCAGAGGAGAAGGGAAACAGAAGATAACATGCTTCTTGCATCCCCCTCCTTATCTGGTTTGGTTTGTTTTGCTTGAGCTGGTAGAATTGTTCCATCTTGTCAGGCAGCCCTCCAAGTTAGAAATCAGATGCAGCAAGGTTGTGTCCATGGAACTCGACACAGCTTTTAGAGCCAAGTTGCTCACCAGTTCTTTCAGGAAATACTTGTGTTTCCTTCATGATAGGTTTCTGTCCGCAAAGCAGTCATAGAGGCAGCTTTAGCTCTTTTTTGTGCAGACTTGTGAGTTGGGAACCATGTCAGCTGACATGATCCTCCACACCTGCATTATAAATGTCACAGACTTGTTTAAAGCAGATAGTCCCCAAAGGGAATGTGGCACAGATGTCACAAAACACTGGGCACCTTGTGGAAATTGCTTTAGCTTGCAAGTGTACAGAAGGGGCTGCACCACAGCATCACTCATGTGCCCCGGCATCTCGTGGTTATTGCTGTTTGAAGGCAAGTGGAAAGTTTCCTCCTTGATATGGCTGACTGGCTTTAGTCAAGCAAAACAAACATGCTGGATTTTGTTTGCGCTATGCAAGTGCAATCTAAGTTATAGAGTTCCAGATAAATTTACCCTTTAGACCAGATACTGTTCGTAAGGACACTAAACTTTTTGGGAGTGATGGGGGAAGGGCAAGTTTCTAAGAATTTCTTTCACACAGAATCTTGGAGAGGGGCTTCTGATAAGGGTCTGTAGTGACAGGACAAGAAGGAACAGCTTTAAATTGACAGAGGGGAGATTGAGATGAGATCTTAGGCCTAAGTTCTTCCCTGTGAGGGTGCTGAGGTGCTGGCACACATTGCCCAGAGAAACTGGCTGCCCCATCCCTGGCAGTGTACAAAGTCAGGTTGGACGGGGCTTGGAGCAACCTGGAATTAGAGAAATGCCCTTGACCAAACAAATGCCCACCCTTCTATGAAGGATGATTTTTTGAGGCAGGTTTGCAAGGCTGATGGATAATTCATCAGTAAAAGGCAGTGTCAGGGGCAATACGAAGGTGCTTGTTTGAAAACATAGTAAGCAGGTGAAGGTCAGTGACTGGCTAGATATAAGTGAAATGTGATGGTAAGGAAATAGATATATTGAGAATTAATGGTAAAGCCCTTAAAAATGAAGATACACAATTCCTTTTGGAAGAGAAAACTTGTGAAAACAATTAAGGGATATGACCAAAGCAACAAGATTAGATAACTGTATTTGGAGGTTTAATGTGTCAAAACTTGTCAAGCTAGTCAAAGCTGAAGTGATGATGTTACAAATTTCACACAGTGTATAAAGTACAGTGTCTCTTCAAGAGTCATTCATAATACATCATAAGACTTTGCAGTATTTGAATAGTCTCTTAAGATTGATTTCTCTCCTTCTATAGAGACGAGAGGGCCTCTGATACAAGACATGGAGTTCCACTGGGCTCAGATACAAAATGACACAAGTCAACTGTCTGTGTAAATTGGCTTGTAGCTTCAAAGGACCCCTTCTTTGTCCATGTTGTCCACACAAAGGTATGGAAATAAGAGAAACTGTGGTGGTCTACATTATCTTAAGATTTAAAAGATGTCTCTAGACTACCAGAATAATTCTGATATTCTTTGCACTTAGCACTTAGAAAATTTTTAGGTTTTTCTTTAACTCCCTTTTTGTCTAGTGAACCTTTTTTCAATGTATTTTTTCTGCACAGAAATCAAACTTCATCTAGTTCTATCTAGAGATACCCCACTGACCTTGGGTAGTTCATATTTGTTTAAAGTTGCAATCCATGGCAATAATTACAGTACCATAGTACAGTATGTGTGGTTAAACTTCAACTTTCCTGCTTGTTTAGAGTTTGTCCCTAATAAGTTGGAAAATATTTTAGGCTACTTCAGCACAGATAGCCAATAAGAGAATTGTATTGGCTTAACTGAAGTAACTTATTTCCAAAGCACGAATTTGGTAAGGCTTGAAAAAGTTTTTCTCTAAATGAGCTTCAAGCAATGCTGACAGACAAATGCACACAGAAAAAAAGTTTGGTTATTGAAACTGATAGTTTATAATCTTAACTAACAAGTTCTTGATCTACTTTCATTTGGTTCATTTTTCCTACTTTCTATTGTACTGTGCATGGATTCAGGATAAAATTGAAAGAAAATTCAATCAAATGTCAGTTGAACTATAGACAGAAACATTGTATTAAAATCTTGAGAAATTACCTGGCTAATGGCATTGTCCAAAGTGACATTATGTGGCTGGGTACTTTGCCAACCCTTTCAAATAACTCAGGTCAGTACAACCCTTAATCTTGCCTATGCATTTTTTTCCACCAGAGGGTGCTGGCCAGTTTTTGAAAGTATAAATTACATAGGGATCATTTAAGGTGCGGCACGTAGGAGAAACCTGAAACAGGAACTAAAAAAAGGTTTCCAACCTTTGTTTATTATAGTACCCTCAACAGGAGCAGCTGCCAAGTAATCCCATTCTTAGCACGGCAGTGTTTATATCCAGGATTTCAGAGGATGTCCTGCTGTAATGCACAAGACCTATTTAGGTAGTGGCAGTAGACATCATCACTTGGCAGTACTTTAAGCATCAATTTGGAATCTCAGAATCTCATAATTATTAGGATAGGAAGTAACTACCTTTCAGATCGTTTTTTTTTTCTGAATCCTTTAGAAATACCAGTAGCTATATATATATTATTATTATTATAATATATATATTTATCTATAATATTTATTATTATTGTTATTTTAAGAGGACTGTAGCCCATGAACTCCTATTTTAATGTCGTGGCATTGTGATATAGGACAGAGTGGAAAACATTTTCCCAGGCAATCTTGTACTCTAGTGGGAGATGATGCTAGAAGTTTCAGAGGAAAGCGCATGTAGCTTAGTAGCACCAACAGGATAAACTCTGCATATGCCTATGAACTGACTGGAGATTCATATGAAATTAGTTTAAATTCTTCAGCCATTCTGGAGGTATAGTGTGTAGGGAAAATACCTTTCCATATCGTGCATTTGGTTTTGATGTGGATATTGGAGTTGTGAGCATCAGTATTCACAAGCAGATCCCAAATCTATGTTTATTTTTATAGCATATTTTCAAAGAGAATCTTTCTGCTTTGGAAAGAAAGCTCACAATTTAATTGGGATGTCTGAAAGTGTTTAAACTTCTCTGGACTTGGCAGTCACTGAAGTAACTAGTTACTCCTAGTCTCCTTTAGTAACTGGGAGATGGGAGAGAGACCTGGTTTCAGCTGTAACAGTTGTTTTTTTCTCCTTCCTATTTGCTGGTGCAGTGCTGTTTTGGCTTTAGTCTGAGAACAGTGCTGATAACACAGCGTGGTTTAGTTGTTGCTCAGTAATGCTTACTCTGATCAAGGACTTTTCAGCCTCATGCTCTGCTACTGAGGAGGGGCACTGGAAGCCAGGAGGAAGCAGAGAGGACACCTGTCCCAGACTAGCCAAAAGGGTTTTCCATACCACAGCATATCGTGCCCAGTATAAAAACTGGGACACATTGCTGTTCAGGTTGGGCTGGGTATTAGTTGGTGGGTGGTGAGCAACTGCATTGTGCATCAGTTGCGTTTATTGGGGTTTTTTTTTCCCCTTTTAGTTTTATATTCTCTCCCCTTGCTGCTTTCCTTACCATTATTACTAGTAGTAGTAGTAGTTCTGTATTATACTTCAGGTATTGGATTGTTCTTATCTCAACCAATGTTGTTTACATTCTTTCGATTCTCCTCTTCATCCCACCCAGAGAGGGGGAAAGGGGAATGTGAGTGGCAGCATGGTGCTGAGTTACTGGCTGGGCTTAAACCACACGAGAGACAAGTTACGTGTTCTGGACATCATACTATCTCTTAAACGGCCTCTGAGTACCTTCACTAGGGTTTTGTTCTGTCATGTGTAACACCACAGTTCAATTTGATGGACTGGAAAGCAATCCTGCATGTCGCTAATACCACACAGGGCAAATGTTTTCCCTTCAGTACATAAAGACCACCTACCCGCTGACCACTGCTTGTGGAGAAGCTGTAATTCAAAGAAAGATGCACCTCGGTTTTGCCATGTAGCTTCGAGCACTGTCCTGCACCACTGTCGAGAGGTGAAGCGTTTAGCATATGGTAAACCATGCACGGTGGGAATGTCCTCTCTTCCAAGTATGCTCAGGAAGCCGCAAAGCCCTGCCTGTTGCTGTGGGAGAACGCGTTCCCTCACTGCACCGTCGCTGGGCTGTGAACCCGAACCCGCGGATCGGTTTGGGGGTCGAGATGTTCTTCCATGTACCGCAGAAGAAGAGTTTCTGTCCGCACCGCGGCCAGGGTGAGTGGCTGGAAACAACCCATTTGCCGCCTCTGCGCGTAAGACGGGCCGCGTTCCCTCAGGGAGCGCCTGAACCGCCGCCCGGTGTCAGGCTGCGGGCGAGACGAACCAGGGGCACATCGTCCTGCGGGGACAACACTGGCGCCCCAGAGCCCAGGCTGCGGCCCCGCGGAACCGCCCTGTGCAGCCGAGGGCCCGTCCTCTGAGGGCTCTCCTGTGAGGGGCCGGACCGGGCCCGCCGGCGGGAGGGCGGGAACGCAGCCCAGCACGCGCAGCGCACCTGCAGGCGGCGGAGGCGGCTTCTGCGCAGTGCCAGCTCCGCAGCCGATTGGCTAGCGCTCCCGTACGCAGCAGCGATTGGCTGTCCGGCTCGTCACTCCAGTGCTCCCCGTTCCCGCCCCTCGCCCCCCCTCAGCCGGCTTGGGCTTCGTCCGCCGCGGCAGCAGCGGGTGGGGGGTTCGGTCCGGCGGGAGGCCTGAGGCGGTCCAGGCCCGGCCCGCTGCCGGCGGGATCTCCGCGCTGAGAAGGCTCGTAGGTGACGCTGGGCGCAGCCGTTCCCGGGCAGGTAAGACGCGGACAAGCCCAGCGGGACAGGTGGGACCTAGCCCCCCCTCTTCACCTCAGAGCAGGGCGGCTGCGCTCGTTCAGCCCCGCCCCGCTGTAGGCTCGTCCGCCGCAGACCCCCGTCTGCTTGTCCATTGCCGTCTCCGCTTTGGGCGTGTGCTGTGGTCGGAGCTCTGCGGCGACGGGCCTGGCAGGAGCCCGCCCTCCAAGGACGCGCAGCTCTTGGGGCTCCCGGCCCTGTGGAGGGGCGGTGAACGCGGTGCGGGGCGCAGCCTGTCTCTGAGGGCGGCGGTGGCGCGGCCTGCGGGCAGGTGCGCTGGAGAAGGATCAACGCCGCTCACCGCGGCCTCCGGCGCGAGGCCCCGCCTTGTGAGCGCCGCTCTGGGCCGGGCCGCACCGGGTTCTGACTGAGGGGCGTCGGCGGGTGCCTGCGCCTCTTTGCGGAGCGGCGGCCCCTCGGGAATGGCCGCTGGGCCCAATGTGCGGTCTCTGCCCGCGCTGCGTGCCCCGGCCTGCGCGAGCCCTACGCGCCTCTGCCGCGAGCTGTTGCGGCCCCGCACAGGTATTTCCGTAAGAGGCTGCGGTGTTTCGCTCTGGGACACTCAGTGTTGTGCTGCCCGAGGCTTGGTGGGCAGTGGGAGGAGCCCTTCTAGAGGACGTATTTGTTGAGCAGGGTAGTGGGGGGAGCAGGTGGAAACCTGCTGGGTTTGGTCACATCCTCCACTGGGATTTCAGAATAAATCTGAAAACCATTTGCATATCATGTGAGTGATACTGTGCAAGTCCTGTTAAAGAACTTTGGCTGAGATCTGTTTTCAAAGCGCTTCAGATAATTTTTGGGCTGGCTTCAGCATGTCAAAGGTTTTGGCATGCACTGGAGAAGGAACTGTTGCTAAACTTCAGCTGTAGAACCACAGCATGCCTTTTGTCTGTTGTTCTGTACCTAAAAATATTGAACATAATCTCTTACTTGGCTTATTATTGAAAAAAATGTTTATAGAATCACAAAATGGTTTGCGTCAGAAGAGACCTTAAAGCTCACCCTGCCACTGGCAGGGACACTTTCCACTAGACCAGGCTGCTCCAAGTCCCATCTAACCTGGCCTGGAACACTCCCAGGGATGGGGCGGCCACAGTTTCCTTGGGCACCCTGTGCCAACACCTCACCACCCTCACAGGGAAGAACTTCTGCCTAAGGTCTCATCTCTGTGTCCCTTCTGTCATTTTAAAGCCATTCCCCCTTGTTCTGGCCCTGCATGCCCTTGTTAAAAAGTCCCTCTCCAGATTTCTGGTAGGCCTCCTTTTTAAAACTGAAAATTAAATCTGGGTTGGTCCCTTTTATGGTGTGGAAAGATATTCCTTGCCTTAAAGACATTGTAGTTGAATGTAGCAGTCTGCCCTTTATGGCCAACAGGTGCTTTTAAAGTCAGATTTGTTTTCACATTGAGCATTCATGCTGTGCCTAGTAGTCATTCTTCATGTGTGAGAAGGACAGGAAGTGTGTTAATAAGGATAGAACTATGTGCACTTGTTTACTAGTTTTCTGTGTTGCCTGTCCTGTGTGGTGTGGCGCCAGTTTGAAGAGGAAAAAACAAAACAACAACAAAAAACCACACCAAAAAGCAAACAAAAAAACCTAACCCACCCAACAAACAGAAAACTCCTGTTATAACCAAGTTCATTTATTCATTTTTTCTGTTCATTTACCTTATTTTAGTAAAAGAGTGATATCTAGGAATCAAGAGGGGCCATAGTTATGAGCTTTGCTTTTAGTTCCATGTGAACTTTGTTTATATTATGAACTCTCAGTGCAGTGTTAAAGGAAAAAAAGGATTAATTCTATAAATAAATAGACAAGGAAATAGTAGAATGGGGAAGATTGTAAGTTCTAAAGCATTTGGTGAAAACGATATTTGATTATAATGCACATTTTTCATATCCTGATTTGAAAAAGGAAGGTAAAAGTTCCGAGTTTATCTCATGTCATCTTCAAGTAACAGAAAGTGAATAAGGTTTAGGAGTGGGGTTTATGCCAATTAGTGTGTTCACATTTTAAATGTTGAATTCTGACACTGGTATGTGAATGTAGATTCCAGTTTTGTCCTTTGCCAAAGAAAAAACTGTTTGACATAGTTAAATTATGCTGCTTTAAATGATTTTCTGTTTTGACTACATCTATTGATTTCATAAGCAGTCAGAAATAGATATTTGGAACTATCACATCTCTTGAGTACAAGGATTTTTAAGAAAGGAGACTAGTTTAAAAAATATGTTTTCTTATGTTTGGATCTGAAGACAGTTACCTGTTTTGCATAAATTTCTCCAAAATAAATGTTTATAGAACATGTTGCCCCAAAGAAGTTGAAGAAAATGGAAGGTTAATGTAAGCTTTAAAGTTTCTTTAGCAGGTAATATGAAACGTAGGGATTTTATACTATTTTACAGTTACCTAAGATATGATTTGGAATTACCTCATTTTTATAGTGTGTTTTTTCCTGATTCCTGTCATTCCTTTATATATAGAATCAGAATTATAGAATGGGTTGGGTTGGAAAGGACCTTAAGCTCATCTAGTTCAACCCCCTGCCATGGGCAGGGACACCTCGCACCATGTTGTCTGTATGTTGACTTTAGTATTCTCCATAGCTCAAAGCTTTTCATCAGCTATAGCAGATAACTGTATTATTCTAAAAAATAATTTTTACTGGGTTTGTTTTGTGAAACACATGCTTCAACTTGAATGAATGTTGTCTCTTTAAAAGTTGCTCAGTTAATTTGTGGCAAGGTGCAGCAGTTGTGTTTAATGAAGGATTCCAAATACTGATGCATCTCTTTTTTTCCCAGCAAGAGGCTGTTTTCTTCCCTGTTTGTTAATGCTTTCATGAGCTTCTATTAGCTGACATCAGGATGTGGGGGTGTGTGTGTATCTGTTTCTGATAAATGCTTTCTGTCTGCCTTATTGATGTCCGTCTTCAATACCAAATGACCTTTAACTTATCAACAGCACGGGGGGGGGGAGGTCAAGAAACAGGAAGAATTAATGCTGCCTAGTTGAAAACTTTGGATACACTGGACATTGCCAGCACAGAGTTCACAGAGTTTGCAAAGGCAATTTTTTTTTCCAGATGTATCAAATTTTTACTTGAAAAGTTAGTTTTTAAAGCCGTTAAGAATGAGAGAAGTAGGTAGAAATGAGCACTCTCACGGACACACACAAAGCCAAAACTGAATTGCCAGGGAACAAGTCTGACCAACAAAGCTGAGATGGGATGTCAACGTACATGGTGTGTGTAATTTTCCTTGAGATACTGAAGCGGATGCTAACGCATGTGTAACTTGTCTTTTGGATTCTTTTATGAACTAGGATCCTTTCTTATGCAGGGAGTGCCAGCTGTATGCATAGAGTTTGGATAAGTTTTGAGTGTGTTGAAGCTACTTTCCTAGCAAAAGATAGCTTTCTCTGGTGCTAGTAAGAATTATATTTATTTAAAGATTAGAAGATAACGCATTTTTGTAAGTGAAGGCTCCTTAACAGTAGAAGGAGAACAGAGACTGCAGGAGAGGCACAGAGTAACACCATGTGATCCTCCGTGATTTTTAACTGTATCAAAGCAACATGGGCTTTAATGGGATTTTCATGTCAGCTTCCACATGCAAGTGTCTGTCTTCGAGATTCTTATTATTTGATGTATACTTTTCTTAAACCGCTGTTGTAAAAGTAGGTATAAGCAAAAAAGGAGAAAAGGGAAGGGCTCTGTCTAAATATCACCACTCAAGTTATCTAAACAGTATTTTCTCAGGTTTGTGCCTGACCATGTTTGGTGAAAAGCTGTGGCTTAACTTGCTGATACAGAAAAAGAGGAATGTTTTTATTTGGTTTTGTGTCCATTCTGCTTTGTTTAGTTAAGTCTTGAGGAAAATGAAGTGAGAATGAGTAGCATTTACCATTTATAAAGCACCTTGAAAGAAGTTACTAAAACCAGTAAGCAAACTCATATTAGCTTGGATCTTATGTTGAATGGCAGAGTGAGGAAGACTTACGGGTATGTATTTGGAGAATATTTAATTATGAAATTCTTAGTATGTTGCTTTTCCCTCTGTGATGTATTTAGTTTTGAGTTTGGGAATTTATCACATACCAATGAAACTAGAATGGGGAACTATCCGTCAAACCTGGGAGGGAGAGCTATGAACAAAAATAGCAGGGTGCATGTTTCAGGTAAAGAATGCACAGTTTGGGAAGAACCAAGTTATATAATAAAGGTCACCACAATCCTGTTTCCTATTAATTTACAGGAATGTCATGCTTTTAAACAGGAGAGAAACCTACTGAATAGCCAGAACTAGGCCCAACAACCGACTAATGGAGGTGTGCAGCAAAATGGGTTGAGTGAGTGCAGAGCCACCTTATTCCACTGTAAGTATGCAACTGTAATTAAAGTGACAGGTATTCTTCTATTTTCACTTGTTTGATACCACAGATTACAGAAGTATCTGTCAGTTCTCTTCTGTTCAGAGAATCTAGACACCCATTAGAGTCATGATAGTATTGTATTATGCTGTAATACAGGAGATAGACATTTCTTTTCCTGTGACTGTTTTATTGAGATTCCCCTAAAGCATAACTCTGCTAAGCATATGTCTTGTCCTTCTAACCTATGTAATCAGCATAGGTTAGAAGGGTAATGGCTTGTGAAGTAGGATTTATGCTGGAGAGGAGGTTCTTAACTTGTGGGATTGTTTTGTTTCTTTGAGGTTATTTTATTATTTGTTCTTTCTTAAGGACAGTTATTGCTTTGTTACTGCTGTGAACCTAGAAATATTTTTCACTTTGCTCCCTGTGGTGTTATGCAGCAGTGCTTCCTTCCTTTTCTCCTCATATATTAATCTTTCGGTTTCTTAGAATTTGCCTGCTTCATCAAGTGCTCAGAAGTCCATCACTCATCAGTTTTCTAGCTACTGACCTAAAGGATTCAGACCTGTAGAACTGGTTGGTTCTGGATAGCAACCATTATTTTGTTGGATGAAATGAATAATCATCAAAGCTTTTGCTTTGGTTTCCCAATTTCTGGACTATTGTAAATCAACTTCTACCACCACAGTGCTCAACATTAGTTCAATGAAAAAATGGAAAGGGGAGGAAAAGGGAGCTTTTTTTCATCCATTTGTCTTCAATTAAGGCATTCTTTATTTTTGTCTTGCCTTTTTATTTTTTTTCTTTCTTACTGGAGGAAAAAATAGCAACATTCTTTTTCTAAGAGATGCTGTAAAATAGGCTCTCAGAGTAATTGTATAAACCCCAAGGCCTAGAAAGCACTTTTTTTTCCAGTTTAATTTCTTAATCTGTCAAAGATGAATACCTGTTCTTTTATGAGGTATGAATACATACTGAAACAAAGGATTTAAGACATTTTGAGAACAGGCCTGTGGTAAGTTAAGAGTCGCTGCCACCTAGTGGAGCGCTGGAACCATGTTTTAAAACTATGTAAATGGAACTTTACTATGCTGCTTTTTCTTATGCAACTGGTGTTGATTGTATCATAACTTGTTAATACAGTAAATTATGGTAGAAGTAACCGAACAGGGAGATGGGGAGAGAACACTTATTAGTTAACTTGTAAATATGATAAACGGTCATTAGGGTGAACTCAATTGTTAGTGGATATAGTAAAGTTGTGGGACATAATTGGGATAAAAGTAGATCACATTCAAACCTACATTTGTCAGCGTCCTGCTCTTCCATGGTTTTAGTGACTAAGGATTCTGTGAGATATTTAATAATTTTGAAATGGATTTTGACAGTTTAGGAGGACTATGAAGAGCCTTTTCATTATGGGTTGTGCATACAGGCCTGTAAGACCTTGAATCTCCTTTTTCATGAGTAAGACTTGATTGATTGGCAGCTTACTGCTGCAAGAATCAGTTTCTCAGCCTTTTTGCTCAGGAGGGATGCGTATTATTGAGGAATATTTATTTTGGTGATTTCATTTTGTGGGTAGTTAAATCAGTGGGGTTAACATGTAGTTAATCCACAGCCCCTTAATAATACTTATGGTTTTGGTTAAAATCCTATTTTGGTTTTCTGAAGATTGACAGGTCTAGTGATCGTAAGTCTGGGACACAAGTTCTGCTCAACTTCTGTCTTTGTGCTGGTGGTATAAGAGAGAATGGTACAAGCTGCTGCACTGAACTTTGGAGTTCTGTTTCCCTTCAAAAGGTGTATTGTCATTGGATCTTGTCACACTCATTTATAGGGCTTTATATAGAAAATAATAAATTATTCCATTACATTTTCATTATTATTCATTCAGTATAGTAAGAAGTTTCTCGGAAAGGAATGTGTGTGAAACTGTTGAACTGCTCATGGCCTATTTTATCTATAGGTGGTACTGTTGCCTAAAGCATAATGAAATGTATTAGGCAGTTTCTGGTGAACTGGATACTGGAAATATGCAAGATGGTTTTGGTCAGAAGGATCTTTAGTTGTATAAATGTAATGGCTTTTTAATCTTCTACAGCCTAATTTCTTTTCTCTTACTAAATTGTTGGCAATTACTATTTAAATCCCGGCTTTTGAAGATTTCAGCGTTTTCCTGTTGTACAAAATGGCCACCAAGGTCTAATGTTGAACTGCTTCTAAAGGACTTCTGAAATGGAAAGAGCCTTTTCGCAGAAAGCGTTGCGACTATTTAGGCAACTCAACTGTCCAGTCTCACATACGCCTTTGTGCGTGCAGTGTATATCACGAAAAGACTCAGAATGGCAGATGAACACTGCTATTTTCTAAAGGAAGTGGGGTTCACACAGATCGTTTCTGCCTTTGCTGTAGGAGATGTGGTCTTCTTCCTCCACTTTGCACAAATCACACGTGAGGGATGAGAAATGGGGTTTTGTGAGGTGATACTTGACTGGGCAGGGGCAGAGGAAAGTGAAGGTGTGATGTAATGTTTGAATGGACTAAGCTTTTGTGAGGGGATGCTGTCAGGAATAAAATGGTTTTATACTGGTGTTGCTCAGAGCTTTTGACGTTTGTACATCAACTTTTCTGTAGGTTATCAAGTATCCACGTAGCACATACCAGCTGCTGCTTTGAAAGATTTAAAAGAAATTACATTCTAGAAATCTTTCCAGAGTGACGTGCTCTGTCACTGCAATGACAAAACAGCTGTAATGTCTCAGACTCAGAAGGATTTTGAAAATTTACTTTTTCTTCTGTTTTAAATATTAAAATGATGCTAATAAACCAAACAAACTTAGCGGAATATGGAGAACAAGCAGTGCATAGTTTTGGATACCTTCATGCTAATTGCCTTTTTATTTAGCAGTAACACAAAAAAGGGGGACTTGTTCCCCCTTGTGAGCCTCTGGGCTGAAGCTGGATGTGATGTAGATACAAGTTTCACATCAGTGGCTGAATGCAAGCAGAGGGGGGCATAAGTGTAGCCACATTATTCTTTCATCCTGTTTTCATAATACAACCCCATTTTCCTCTTCCAATATGTTAGCTGTGCTAACATTCTCATCTGTACTCTACACCCACAGCATCTGAATATGGACTTTGTCCATGGTTCATTAAGGAAAGAAATGTTTTAATGATAAACATCTGGAGAAATAGTTTTGGAATGAAGAAAGAGGAAAATAAGTGCAATGGTGAAGAACAATTCAGAATTGATGTGGAGCTCTATATGGTCTATTGTAAATGTGTCCTTAGGTTGTGGCAATTGTTAGGGAAGTGGGATAGTGTATTGTTGATCTTGCTGGAGGTAGAAAGCAACATTCTTCCAGTATTCCTGTCAGCAACTTGGTTGCTGACAATCATTCTGATGTTAGATACCACATTCTGGAAAGCATGTCCTCTGAGGAGCAGTACCAGGTCTGATTGAAAGCCCGTCTAGCTCAGTTTTTTTTCCTCCTGCAAGCAAATCAGTAAGAACACTAGTTATCGTTGGATGCTTACATGGCTATTCTCATGTTTGCTGAGAGCAGTGTGAACAGTTAGTGACTTCCTCAGGTGGCTCTGCTGGCTTTCAGGTGTTAGGGCACAGGGACTTCCTTGGCCAGAGGTGATGTTTGTGCTTAAGAGCCTTTTAGTGACTTTCTTGTGAGTTGGGTCACTAGAAACGAGAATGAATTTAGGTCATTGTAACTGGATTACATGCATGTTACTAACAGAAATGTAAAACTGCATTCCCGCTTTCAAAGAATGTCACTTATGTGCTGTAAATACCAAAATTTGACAAATGCTGGTAAAATAATGGCTACAGGAATTACTTTTGTGCTCAGTTTTGATGGTGGTGGTTTCTGTTTTGTTTTTCTTTTCAGTTGTTCTTGCACTGTCTTCACTCTTGCTTCAGTGAGAACTACATATCTAAATGGGTTTGTTAAACTGGCAAAGAAGAACAGACAACCTCTGGTGGTATGTATGTTTGCATCCTAATTTATCCACTTTACTTCTGGCAATCTGAATGAGATCTACTGCAATATTACACCTGTGAACCTTCCCTACAAACAGATAAGGAGTTTTCTTTGTGTTGATATTTTTTTTTAGCACTGTTTGCATAAGGCATGATTTTAATGATTAACCTGATCAACTTGAAAGAGCAAGTTGCAAAGCAATGGAAAGAAATTATGTCATTTTTGTGACTTTTTACCTTTAATTGCCAACATGTCATTATGGGGGAGTAGCTTTGGTGTTATTTTTAATATCTTTGTGCATAAAGTCTGACGGCCTTTTGTTACAACATGCTTAGTATTAGCTTCACTGGTACTTCATTTGCAGAATAATACCTTCTGTGATAGCAAGTGCGGAAGTACTTCAGATGACTGGGTGATTTCAGTAGAATAAAAACCACTTGGACTTAAGTTAAAAGCATAATTGCTTCCTATGACTTTCCTCAAGGTAGCAAAACAAGGAACTTTTTTCCATAGGAGATGTGAATCTTGGAGAAGCCATGCACACAGGATAAAGCAGTGCATTTTTAATGCTTGTGTTATATTTGAAACATTTTTTGGAGAAAAAAATACCTATTTTGGTCCATTTTAGAATGAAAGTATCTTGCAGTTTTTTGTATGTACTGGGTGTTGAAAGGTAAAAGTCTGTTAGTGATTTTTGTTTCAGAGATTAAAGCACTTCTGTCTCTCTGGTTTATTGGATGTTAAAACTTGGAGTAAAACTGAGCTTGGTCAGGATACAAGATCACATATGGGATTTTTCTTTCCCCTTTCAGAGCATTTTTGAGCCCCCGCACTCTGGAAAGCCGAGTCAGAAAGGCGGAGAAGGAGGAGACAAGTATATTTTTGTGGCCTTGATGTAAATGCCACGTTTTAAAGAAATTACATCATGAAAATTATTTTCCACTTCAGTATCTCTAAGGACCATTAACGGGAGCAACTCCAGACCTTAGAAATACTTTGCAGTCTGTTAGTACTCAAAATACGAGTTAATCTTATCAAGACACAAGATAAAGGAAATTGCTTCTTGACAAGTTTAGCTGAGGAGATTCTGGCAGTGTTTGAAATAGGGTTACTGATCTGTTTCATGTATGCCCATGAGATTGCAGGGAGAGTTGTTTTGTCATGTAAGGCCTTGTGGAGGTGACAGGTAGGGTGAAGACCTCATCTTTATTGGGGAAGTAAAATAAGAGGTTATTTTTATTCTCAGCTGCTTGCTTTCCTAGCATTTTCGTGTTTGTGTGATCAGAGGGTTGTGGGAAAGGGTGAGGATGCAAAGGGACATGTGGCAGAATCCCAAATTGCTTATTTGAGGACCTACAGATTTTGCTGGAACAGTACCTAGGAGTCTGTGGCAGTGGTTGCCTCGAGGTCCTTCTATGTGTGCTGTGGGGAGTGATGCAGCAACCATATACGCTGTTTGTTTTCTCAATTCAAGATGAATTGGAGCTTGAGCTGACTTGGTAGTTCTATAAGCAGTTGTTAGGTTTTGGGTGTACATGCTTATACACATGCAGAAATGCACATGCTGTATCTGAAAAATGTCTACTATAACATTACGATTTATTAACTGTAAATTTTCACCAGTCTTATGATCAAATTTTTCTTTGCTGTGTATATTTGCAAATAAAATTGTTCAGGGTTCCTTCACTCCCTCTTACATAAAATTTTGATCAAAGGGAGTGTTTCAGTTGTCATTGGGTGGCAGTGTTCTAGAATTATCTGTTGTCACTAGTTAAGTGATTTTATTTAAAAATGTGTAATTCTTTTATGAGTACCATTGCTATCTGCATTAACTCTATAATCACAGTTGTTCTCATGTTATTTGTCCCTATTTGTGTACAAATTCTATTTTTTCTGAATGAGATGCAGCATAGTTTTGCAAATGTATATCCACCTATGTCCGTACTGTGTATATTGTTTAGTGTACAATGACATGTATCCAAGAAGGTGAAAACTGATTTCCTGATAGCAAGGAGATAAATATTTAGAAATACTTAATGCTTCCCTTTGTTCAATAGGCAGGAATACACTGCCTCAGAATTACTTGTGCTTTATTTCAAGATTGAATGGTTCTTTCAGATATGAGTATTACTGTTGTAATCAACAGTAGTTTTCATTAAGCACTTTATATTTCTGTGTGTTCATTAAATACTTAGAGATTCTGGAACAGGTTATTTGATCCAAGTGGATAGAGGCAGCTTTTTCATGGTGCCACATACTCAAATTTTTTGTAGTCCCTTCTTTTGGTTTCTGGAGGAAGCTTAAGGTACATCACATACTTGAAGCCAATTTGGAACTGCCTCTGTCTGCTTAATTCAGTTTGGAAAAAGTCTCACTTCAGACAGTGCTGTTGCTGGATTAGCAGAAATCTTTGAGATTCATCCTTCCAGTGAAGAAGGATGATGTTAGCCAGTTCTCTTCTCTGTAAAACTGTTCCTTGGGGCCTGACATAAAATGCTTTTTCAGGTGCATCTGTCTGTATAGGTCTAAGCAGCTGCAAATAGGATTTGCACGTTAGGAAGGTATACTGGGACTCAAATACCCGATTTTGAGACTCATTCCAGTGATGAACAGGAAAAAGTGAGGAAGCACCTGTATTTTCATTAAGTTAATATTTCCACTCTTTCACAGTTTGTACCTGAAAGATAAAAGGGATTCTAGCTCCTAAGATCATCTTATGTCTGAAGTCCTTTTCTCTGAGAAAGGACAATGAAATCTCTTGTATTGTTGGGTGTTCCTAAATTTTATTTATTTATTCTCATAAATGCATTTGTTTTGCAGGATTTCTGTGTTCATCATGTTGTTTCACCAGTGCGGGCTGAGCTGAAATTTCCTGCATCTTGGGGAGAGCATGTATAAAAGGAATGAGCTCATGGCCAATGTGACGGTCACCTCCGCCACTCCAGAGGTACAGTTCCTTATGTAGTCTTGTCAGCTCCTGTATCAAAATGAACATCTTGACTTGTTTCAGCTTTCACAGAAGCCCCTTCCACTACTAGTCCTGTCAGTCCTTTTTCTTGCAATGGGTGTAGTCCTTGACACCACTCTATGGTTCTCAGTGTTCACAACTAATTTGTTTTATTGTTGTTGATTATGGTTACTCATTTAGGTTAGTCTGAAATAGCATTTTTGACCTGTTACTCTGTAACTTACAGCAGCCTTTTATTACTAATACGTTAGGAGCAATGTAACATACCATCTAAACAGAGCCAGTCGGAAATATTCCAGTCGGTTTGTTTTTTGAGGACCGAGCAGCTCTGTTGTGCTGCTTCCAAAAGTTATCTAATTTGATGTTGAGCTGCTGTGCACAGCTGACAGCCAATTGAAGACTGTTCAAAATCATTTTCCCTACCGAGTTTTTCTGGTTTCTTTCTTTCATGTAATATTATGATGAAATATTATAAATCAGCTACAGTAAAGCTTGCCCAATAAAGCACATGTATGATTGAAGGTACTTTATGCTTTTTAAAAAAGGTAACATTTTGTTGAAATTCTTCCCTGCTTGAAAAACCTTTCATCTCTTCAGACAGCTGAAGAGCTGTGTGAAGCAAGTTTTTCCATCATAGTTATTCCTTTTGCACACAGAACTTAATCCTGCCAAAGCAGTTGTCCTGATTTTCATGAAACAAATCAGCTGCTTCAGTAGTGAGCTGATCTTTAAAAGTCTTATAGCAAAATAAAAAGTACATAATACAGCTGTGCTTTGCAGAGGATTATTTTCTCAAGCACAGTATAAATGCCCTCAGGCTAACAGAAACAGGTTTTCATTCTCTCAAGATGACATTTTGAATCTAGCTCCCCTTTATTCTCTTACTGGTTTTGCCAAGTACAAATGTCAGGCTTCCTAATCAGTAGTTCCCCAGATACTTTGTAGGGAAAGAAAAATAATCAGATCTCGTTTATCACCTTATATTTCTTTGGTACCAAGTCAGTTTTAAGTGAGAATTACAAGTCACAATTAGTTAGGATTCCAAAACATCTTGTTTTGAAAACAATGGTCTTCTAGCAAACAGATAACTTCAGGGAGGTGTAAGGGCTTAAGACTTTACGTGCCTAAGTTTTTATTCAGTATGTAGTTTTAAGGTAAAAAAAGAGAAAAATAATGCTATTATTATTAAATCACTTTATCCTTGAAGAAAGGAAGATAAGCTTCAAGTATCTGCATTGGAGCCCAAGGAGAGAAGCTTCAAAAGGAATGCAAGGCCCAAATTTTTAAGGCAGGACATGCACAGTACTCTTCTAAAGTAGTCTGAAGCTTACATTGGGTTAAATTTCAGGATGTGACATGTTTTTCATTTTTTATTATGTTATGGATAGAGCAGCATGATTGGGATCTATCCACTCTTTACCTTCCATATTTAATTTTACAATTTCTATTCAATATGAATCTTCAAGATTCCAACATGTTTCCTTTTGTGTGACGGCACTTTTTATCCAGTTCATGATTTAAGAAATGGCTTTCTAAAACTGAAAACTTACTAAAATGGAATGCCACTGTATTTTTTGCAGAGGAAAGTGAGTTGGAAACATTGATGAACCATGTAAACTAAATTTTATAACTCAGTGTCTGAAGTTTTTTGAAGTTCATATTTTCTTGTCATTTCTTAATATTTTTACATGTATTTATTTTCTGAATTTGACATGAAATTTATTATTCTGCAGATAAGCCAAATACTTTCTCTTTGTAGGGTAGTAGCAGCTCAGATTCTCTGGAAGGGCGGAGTTCAGACTATGCCAATAAAAGCTATGATGCAGTTGTATTTGATGTGTTGAAAGTAACTCCTGAGGAGTTCGCAGTAAGTAGAAATGGTTTTTGCATTTAAGCTTGTATAATATTCAGGGCTTGCAGGATATTAAAAAATACATAAAATGTTTTTCTTAAAATAAAAATCTTTTAAATGATCTGCCACTGTTCTTGAAAACCAATTTCTGATTATATGAACTTCAACAACATAAACATGTATTGGGATTTAATAATTCTGTACTGGCCTGACCAGATATATTTGTTTTTCTGTATAAAGCTATTTACTTTTTTTCTAGTGTTTTTGAAGACCTTAGTGTATGTTTAAAGATGTTAGTTACCCACAGCCTGATGCCTTTTTTACAGGTATATATGTATTTACAAATATATATATCTATGGAATTGAAACCACAAGTACTCATCTTTTGTGCTGAAACATCAGTTTCTCAGAAAAATTTGTTTCTTAAAAGCAGGAAAGAAGCTTGTAGAGAGGAAACAATTTGTATTATTTAGTAACAGGGTTTCAGCACTAAACTCAAAGCAGAACTGCACATATGGCAGAAGTCCAGTACACTTCTTGTGCTTGCCCCTTTGTTTTTAAGTTATAGGTTAACTTGCTTAGCAGCATGGAGGAGTGAGGATGAAAGCTACTGAAATTTATTCAATGTTTTTGTTAATATTCTGTGCATCAAAGTGATATTTCTTTCATTTGATGTAAAATTATATAATACCTGTTTGCAAAAGTAGTGATGTTGACTTTAACATGGACACGTGAACTTTTAACACCAAACCTTTCTTAGCCAGAGTAGCTGTCTTCCCTGTGTTGCATTAAAACCATTTACTTGGTTTGCTGTGATTCTCTTTTTTGTTGACAGCTCAAGTGATATTTACTGCTTCTGTTCCACACAGAGCAACCAATCATTTCTGTTTTCAATAAATTATAGCAGCCAGTGAATTCCACATATTATTTCTTGTTACTCAAGACTGTAGTAGTCTGAATGCTTCAGATAACTTGAAGCAGTTCAGCTGGGGAGAAGGAAAATAGCCACTGGTCTGGGTTTACTGTAGTTAGTACAGTTTGGTCGCTGGACATCAGGACAGACAGCTATCGAAGATGGGATCTCTGTATTGGATATAAATATTTAGGGAAGGGAATGGCACCGAGTTAAGGTCATTTCCAAATTTAGTGTGTTGTGTTCCTTTATAAAATTTAGAAGGAGCAGAGGAGAAATTCCCTGGTGGCGATCACATATACAACAGAAAGACCATTGGCTTGTCACTGCTACTGAATTTTGCTTTTGCCTTTTTGGTGATTTTGATTGAATCTTATTAAAATTACATTTAAATAGATAGTTATAGCTCTTTAATTAGTGGGTTCAAAGGTCCAGTTTGATAGGGTATTAGCAAGTTTTTGCTCTTTTGGGCTTAGCCTAACAAGATGGGCATCAGAGAAGCTTTGCTGAGGAAAGATCCAAAGAAGTGGTTTTTGCCAGTTTCTTTTGCATATTAAATCATGTAAATTACAAAGGTAAAAGCTATGTAGGTTTATACATTCACAGTGTAACCTATTGGTTAAACATAAACTTAACTTCCAAATACAAAATGTCATTCAGTCACTGAAGCAATTCAAATATTTTATCACTCAGATGCTAAAAATGTTCTATAAATGCTGTTTTTTCAAAATAATTTGCTTTGAAAAAGCATTACATTGTCTCATCAGGACAAGCTCATCAGTGCCTGAAAAAGCATGTATGACCCCTTTAAAGCATATTTCAGTCATAACAAATTAACACATCATAATGCTTTATTGTCTTCCATCCTAGTGAATGTACAACGTATGATGCTTTCTATGTGAAAGGAGATAAACCTTCTTGCCATTAGTGTTTGGGCCCTTTATTATGTAACAAAAAGACTTTCAAACTCAAGTTTTACCTCTTAGACTGCTGCAGGTACTGCAAACCTTCACTTAGTTACAGCTGGTAGATGTAAGAGAATATAATGACATGGAGCCACTCAGGATGGTGGAGTTTCTGCTGTGATTCATCAGCCTGGACAGAGGAAGCCAAATTCGGGTCTGGTCAGTTCTGGTCTATGGAGAAAATGAGAATCTGTAGTTTGTAGTTACTAAAAGACAGATGTAAATGCATGATTATTAGCTCTTCTTACTACATTACTTATCTTTATTGCAGAGCCAGATTACGTTGATGGATGTGCCAGTATTTAAAGCTATACAACCTGAGGTAGGTTTTGCATTTGCTTTAACTGCTATGAAATATCTGTGCCATAAAATTTCATAGCAAAACAAAATACTGATTTGCTGTTCTTCTTTCCATTTGTCATTGCTTCATTTTGCTTTCTGGGACTGAAATTTCCTGAAGTGCTACTCTGGTTGGCAGGTAGATGTAATTTAGTGAGAAATAGTCAGAAAAACCCCAACGTTGTATTTTCAGCTTCTGCTAGAATACAGGTCTGTGACTAAGTAGCAGTTGCTATAAACTATTAGTTTTTAGTTGCATTTTCTGCCTTTTGTGTTACTGCAGTTACCAATATAACTTAATTGTTTGTTTGCCAAAAATAAACATCTGTTTGTGTTGTGAAGTTCTGCCAACTGTAAGACTAGGTTTTAAAGCAAGATACAGTCTGTGTATTTTTATTCTCCCTGCCTCTTGTTATTAGGTAAACTATTAAACTATGAAGGTTAACATTTTCTCTTCAGATCAAATACTTATTTATAGTCTGTAACTGCATTTGTTTGAGGCCTTGTAGCCTTTTAAATCAAGTTGATGTACTCATTCTTCTGTGTCCACAAGTGTGGATACCCTATAATAAACTACCCCACTGAGTCCTGCAGGGTTTCATGTAGATGACTGCTGTCTCTTGCATTGTTCATAGGCAGATGGTTGTCTGCCATTTTACACCAGAACTCTACCTTCTCAGTTTTCCTTCCTGTATTGCATGGAAGAAACTCATCAGTCAGCAACCATTGGGCTGTCTGCTTTAACCTATTGTTGAATTTTGTGTCTGGGGGAAGAACATTATATTGTTTTTGTTCAGGTTTTACTCTTTAACATGAGCTCATGCATGGATGGAAAGACATAAGATTTTGGAGTTCTGGTTGCCAAGACTTATTTCACACAAACAAACTTTAAACCAAGCAGTTACTGAGGTGCTTTTCTGCTTCTTGATTGAGCTGTTACTAAAAAACACAGCTGCATGCTCCTTTCCAAGAGTTTGATAAGATTAACAACTCTTTGTTCTCCAGCAGAAATAACTATGCTTATGTTTCTAGGAAACTTTTAGGGTTTGTTCTGTTTGTTTTTTTTTATTTCAAAGTTCTGTAAACGTCAAACTCCACAAATTTCACAAATTTTCTTGCACGCTTGATCAGAAAACTTCTTATGGCATGTGCATTGAGGAAATTGCCTGCATCCTTCCATGCAAAAAGATGAAGTGTAATTCTAGAACACAGTACATTTTAGCAGTATTAGAAAAAAATTCAGCAGGGGCATGTTGGATCACTTACTCTTATCAATCTTCCTGTTCAGTCCAAATTTTAAACCCAGTCAAATGATTTTACCATGCACAGGATTTTCCATTGTTGCTCACTAGCCCTTTAGCAACTGCTTAATATACTTAGGTTACTGACCTCTTCATTTTTCTGATAAATGTAAATTCTGCTGTCCCTATTAAGAGTGACTGAGATTTTTCCACATCAGCATGTGATTTCCAGACTCCTAAGATGAGATCACGTGGAGGATCTGCGTCTTGACAGATGTGAATTGGCATTTTTATCTGCAGAAGGCTTAAATGCTGGAACATTGGGATACAAAATATGTTTGGAACGGGAAATGCATTTCGTGGTGCTCACATGGGAACATGCAGAACTCCGCATCTCGAGAGTGTGCTCTGTTTATCAGAATGTACAAAGTGCTTTTCAGAGGCAGAATTCTCTTTGGCTGTCTTTGCCTTTTCATGTGAAGGCATCTAAAGTTAATAGCATACATTTAGAAAGTTGAATAATTTGATTAAAACTGAAATTTGTGGTTCTAAAAACAGAGGAGTGACTTAGAACTGGTGTTACGGATAACTCATTTTCAGTATGTATGTATCTCCCTCTTGTCACATCTGACATAAATACCTGAATATAAAGACTGTATAGGTAGGTGGTAACTTGAATCTGTCAAGGTATCTAAATATATTTGCAACTGCCTGAAATAACTGTTGGAAAATTGATGTTTTCTTTCTGGCTGTAGTGTATGCGTGGAAGTTCTACTAATTGTAATAATGAAGACGACATTCAGGAACAACAGCTAGGTTACTGCCTCTGGTTGCACTGCTGAATTTTGTACTCTAACTACTGCTAATTTTGCTTATTGATATGTTTAGCTTTAGCTTCAGTTCTGAACCAGGTAAGGTTATATACTAACAAAATCTTTACTCCTATGTCTGCTGAGTTGTTTGTTGAGGGAACCCTGGGCTGAAGTAATCAATACGGAGTAAAACTTCAGAGCCATCAGTTGTGGCTGATTGCTGGGGCTTTCTGTATGTGAATCTAATGTCTATTTTTTCTAGTACCAGGGCACACACAAATCACATCGTTTATATACATCAGAAAAACACAGAAGTGTTTGCTTAGACTAGTCATGAAATTGATTATACTAATCCTCTGATAGCTGTTTCTGTCATGTATCAGTTTTTACACTTTAAAATGTTTTTAAACATTATGGATTTGTAAGGCAATTTTTAAATGTGTTTCCTAGGAACTAGCAAGCTGTGGATGGAATAAGAAAGAAAAACATATCCTCGCTCCAAATATTGTTGCCTTTACTAGGAGGTTTAACCAGGTAAATGACTTGATTACTGATGAACAGGTACTGTTTGACAGTTGTCTTTGAGTATAAAGTTAAATAGAACAACTATGAATTAAAACTTAAGAATATTTTTGTTATATGTGTTTACTTTATAGGTCAGTTTTTGGGTTGTACGAGAAATATTAACAGCACAGACCTTAAAAATAAGGGCAGAAATACTGAGCCATTTTGTGAAAATAGCTAAAGTAAGTGCAAATTTCTTGTACTATCTTACTTCCTTTTTGTTTGTTTCTGCACTGCTCCTGTGAGCTGTTGTTGGATTACAAAGGCTAACATTCTTTTTTTTTAGCATATTTGCTATGTTGTACTACAAGAATAAGATAGAGGTATGGCATCCATTGGTTTTACTTGATTAAATAAAACTGCCCAGTTCAGCGTAATTAATCTTGGACCTTTGCTTAGTGTTTTCTGCAGTCATTGAGTAAAACTTCATATTTTATTAATGTAACTTTGAGATTAATCAGTTCTGCTTCCTTTTTTTACGTGCTAAAAGCTATTATTCACTTTTTTCAGAAGCTTTTGGAACTGAATAATCTTCATTCTCTTATGTCTGTGGTGTCAGCACTGCAAAGTGCACCCATCTTCAGACTGACCAAAACCCGGGCCGTAAGTTACCTTTGATCATTGTCTTTTTGGTCCTGTTTGAGTTCTCAAGTTTTCAGAGTTCTTCTGAATTGTCAAATTGCATTTCTGGAAGATTCTTTTAAGTCCTGATTTTGCAGTACTAAAATACATAAATATTCCCTATCTGGTCTAGAAGCCACTGTTTATGTCCTTCAGAGAACTTTCCTTGATAAGTAATCTTGGAGGACCTTTTTACAGAATAAAAATGAATAAGTTGCCAGAAAGGAGGAATAAAGACCTATTACAAATACAGAAGCATTAATGATGATGAGTTTAATCCTAACTTGACTGTGCTTTCATTTACTGTGTGTGATTCAACAAATTTTATTGTTTTCTTTTGTGTGGATTCTTCTTAAACTTGTATGCTTTCATTTTTTTCTCTGTAGCTTTTGAATCGTAAAGACAAGACCACCTTTGAGAAGCTAGACTATCTACTCTCTAAGGAAGATAATTATAAAAGGACACGAGAGTACATCAAAAGCTTAAAAATGGTTCCTACTATTCCATATTTAGGTGAGTGTGAACAATTACTTTCTTTATGTGGAGCTCCTTCTGACTGCTGAGCACTAATGTAGCGTGTTGTGCACCTGCAGAACGCTCTAGAGAGAAGGTATGGTTCACTTAATTTCATATTTAAATGGATCTGATGAATGTTTTTAAGCTATACACTGTCTAGAATCTCTGACTTGCAGAAGTTTTGTGCATTACTGACATCTGAAAATACATGTGTCTTTCCTGAAGACATCAAGAGGACAGCATTTACAAGAGCATTGTATTTCAGAAGTGTCTTTGATTACAGCATGATTTAAGACCTTGTTCCTGTAGCTGTCATTTCTGCTGTACTGTTTTTTCAGATTCCTCATAACTTGGTGTCTCTAACCTGTTGGTTTGTGTTAGTTTCTTGTAAATACTTTGAAGGGAGATATAAACTGAACAGTCAGTTTAATCAATTGACTTATCTTTCCTGTATTCCCTTGTATTATTCATGTAGGCACACTGTGTCATTATTTCCCCAGTGGCTCTATCTCACAGTTCCTGCCCATTGCTGAACTGTGCTAGCATTCCTGAGTAACACTGCAAAACCCAGGTTCCTGTTAAAACAAGGCCATTCAGCCACTGGAATATCTTTCTAGTGAGGAGATTTTTAAAATTAAGAGTTAATCTAAGAAGTATTCACCCATGTCTTCTGGAAGCAATATCATAAACTTTAAGATAATTTATTGCAGTTATTTTCAGTGACCAAGAAGAGACACATGTGGTGCTTTTTGTGTATCAGTCCACGTATGCAGAGCATGGTCCTGTTGAAGTAATTGTTTTGAACATTCTGTAAATACGACTTCCAGAAAGAATGTGTTTAAAAAAAATCAAACTAAGTCTGGAATCCCCATCATATTCAGCAACAGAATACACCATAAAGAGTTGTCTTAAACATTTTAAAGTATTGGTATAACCCTAAACTCCACTTATAAATGCAACCTTTTTCCTCATCTAACATCATTCTGCCTTGTGTTCTACCTGCATGAACCCTGCATATATTGTACCTCAGGTTTCATAAACCAGAGAGCCTCTGCCTGGTGACTGCAAGGATTAAGCAGTGTTACTGCTCTTTTAAAGTAAAGTGTTTCACACTTGCATTAAATATTTCTTACCTGAAACTTGTTTCCCAGAGTCCAGTAGGTAAACCAGTGCCAGATAAAGCTTCAATACTGTTCAGAAATTCAGGGTTGTCGTATGACCTACAAAATGTTCTTCCTCTTTGGGATCTGTGGAAATTTAGTATTTTTCTCAGCTGAAAAATGCTTTGGTTTTGATGTTGCCATATTTGCACGCTTCTTACATGGTAACAGTAGTTGTGTATAAAACTTGATACACAACTGATTTGAGGTAGAGTGGTGTGGACTTAAGTAATTATCTGTTCTTTTCCCATGAATAATTGAACTAAACCAGGATGAAATCTGAACATGTCAAAATAACATTTGTTGCTTTATTAAAGGGTTACAGTATTACAGGGGTCATATATTAAAAACCCTACTTTCAGTTATATACAACACATGCTACATCACACATCAGTTTAATGTACATCATACTGTTGGAAAGATGTGGTGAGGTAATAAGTGGAAAAAGTGTGCAAGCACATGCACACAAATGCACAGTATCTGACAGGTTTACTGGAAAATACATTGAACTTCCAAGGGCTTTTGCTCTCCCTCTCATATGCAGTCTTTAATTTCTGGTTTTTGTAGTAGTGTGTTACAGCAATCTGCTCTAGAAACCTACCTCAGAACAGCATTAAAATCATCCCTGTCCGTATTTGATAGTTGTGACTGACCACTACATAGATGAGTAAATCTCTAATAATTTGACAGTAATATAGTTGTGAAATATGATAAATATAACTTCTCTTGGCTACAGGTAACTTCTTTATATAATTTTCAGCTACTGGCTAAGGATATTAAATAGCTTATATATTGGTATCCATCATTTGCCTGCAAAGTTGGATAGTCCCTTTAATTTTTATATCCAGCCATTTCTGATTACAGAGGCTACACAGCAGGTAATGACTGAAGTCAGGTACAAAACCCTGTGACAGTTGTTGTGTAATATAACACATTGGCTATATAGCACCTTCTATCTGTTGTAAATCTGGGTTTATTTCCATATGCAAGTAGCAACTTCATTTTGGTAAGACACATCATTAGTGTTTTTAATCTAAAATATCTGATTCAAATGTGAATTCTGATTTATAGGAGCAGATTATTAAAATGCTCAAATTGAAGGGAAAGACTGGATTTGTTACAGTCTGCTCTCCAAGTCAAATTATATAGTACTAACTTTATTCACGGCAGTTAACAAAGATTAAATCAGAATAATCACACTAATGTACATATACCAGCTACACAGTTCAAAGGATATGATTTCCTGTGTCAAATGATTTCTCATAATAATAATAAAACTCTTGCTGTACAGTTCTGTATTTGAGAATATTTATACATAATATAACATACAAAAATATTTAAATGTTGTGGCAGTATTTTTACCATCCAAACTTAATTTACAGGGAATAAACACCAGATAGTTTATCTACAGTCCGTCTAAACTGCCAGTTCTAAAAGGCTGAATGTAACTACATTTAGTACCGAGAGGTGTTCAGAATGTTACATCATTTCAGTTCCTTTTTTTTCTTCAGCTGTTTTTTTCCTGGAGTGATTCTTGAAAATACAATATACAAACCCTCATATCTTAGCAATAAATGTACAATATCTTACATTCCTCACTTCTGAAAAGATAATTTCAGGTAATAACATCATAGCTTTATGTGATTTTTAGAACAAGAAAGCAAACCAAGAGAAGAATTATTTCAGTGGAAAGTGTTAGGGTTAGGTCTTATCATCATAACAACTTTCTTTAGTGAATATGACCCCCCCCGGAATTCAGCCCAATAAACACCATCCTGATACCGACTGCGGTAGTGTCCTCCACGATACCAGACTCCGTTGAGATTTGAATGAGCACATGCATTGTACCACCATCCTCCTTTCTGGTAGTGAGCACAATTACCTGTAAAAGAAAGCTCCATTTCAGTCTTGGGAGTAAATGAAAAACCTTACAGGAAAAAAAACCCAGGGCAGTGGAAAGGGACCTTGTACCTGTGTATACATCGTGATCCCGGTCCAGCGTGGTGAACTGTTTGCCATTGTGCCAAGTAAAGGAATCTCCTGCATTGCCATTGTAGCGTCCCAATCTCAACTTGTAGTATTCACTTTCTGGCTCCAGTCTGAAGCTGGCATACTCAGCAAATACTTTTCGACCTGACCAGTCTTCCATTGTTATGAGCAGTTTGTAGTTGCCTTGATTTGTTAACCAATAAATATTTTCTAGTCCTAGCCAGTATTCTCCATCTATATTACCAAATCCTTGCTGTAAAGGAAGCAGGAGAAGCATGTTAATAATACATATCTGGTTTAACGGTAAATCTGAGTGTATCCTTAACTAGAAAACCACAGTAACTTATTTTATAGAGACTTCGTCTTCTGGAAAGGTAAACACACAAGTTCCTTTTCAAGGAAGCTGTGGCCAGACTGTAAAATCCCTCTTTAAATTAACTTTACCAATATATTTTAGAGGGTAGAAAATATGAAACTGCTCACTTGTCCTAACCTTGTATGTCTCCCAGTTCCTGAAAAAGTTGACAGACCCATCCAGGCGTCTCTGAATGACTGTCCAGCCACCAGGGTCATGCCGTTGATCACACCAGACCTGCATAAGCTGGTTTGTGTTTTCTGGCTTTACAAGGTAGATGGAGCTTGTATCGTGGCCATCTTCTAATGCTTGCAGACAGTCTCTCCAGGGCCCTGTGTCAAAACAGAAGGACTCAGTATCAAAATGCTGTTGAGCATATTTTTAATCCAGGGCGGTGTTTGAATTGGGAGCTCTTTACAGTACATTTTCTTCTTCTGAGTAGTGCATTTGCTTTTCCTCTTATTGAAGGTACAGTGTCCACTGAATGTTTTCAAACAGGCTGATTTTTTTGTAACTTTAGAGCATTTCACAATGAATTACTGATAAAGGCAGATACTAGTTTTTGTTCTTTTTTAAAAGCAGCTGCACTTATAAGGTTTGATTATGTCTTCGAAGAAACTCAATGTGAAGGACCCCACATATAAATATTAGTAATTTTGTTTAGAAAACAAAATAGCAAGTTTGACTTTCTTTTAGTCCTGGAGAAATTTAGCTTTTGGATCCCCCAAACTGTCATTGACACAGACATTATCAATGGAACTGGCAACACTGAGAATGTAAGGTTGCTGTTATCACCCTTAATAAATGATAAAAAGAAATAAAAGAGCGTGTTAGTTCAAAGTCATTGTTAAAGGAACTCATAAAATTGTCAACCACAGATCTTTGATCATGTGCATTAAAATAAATATATAGCAGTGTACAATGTGGCATTTACAGCTTTCTAATCTTGCAGTTTCTTTCTAGGCCACATGGCAACAGTGCTTTACTGCACATGAATCTTTTCTCTGAACGTGCTTTAAGGTGAAGATAAGCTATTATAAATACTTCAAAGCAGAGTTTGCTGCTACTTTTCCATGACAGGTGTGTTCTTGTCAGATACTGACTTTCCAGAACTTTGACTGAGGTGTGTAGTCTGATATTTATCATCTGAAATGGGAAGTGAAAGGGGAACTCACTGATGACAGTGGGCTCCAGCACAGATCTGTCAGACCCCACAATTAACTCTGCCTGGATTTTTATTGTTTGTTTATGTGAAGTTCTTTCTTCGTACTTTGTAGCAGCTTAATTTAAACACACTGATTGGGAAACCCATTCAGTGCTGTCTGGAAATTCATATAAACTGTATGTCAGCCAGGACTCCATCGGCACAGGCACTGAGTTAATTGTTTCATATTCAGTTTCCTTTAGAACTCTTGTGGATGTGCTTTACTCCTTGCAGTTTGTTAGTATTCATTTCTTTCATTTGCTTTATAACCTCTCCTATCAGCATTTCAGTTTTGAGGTAAATCCTGCAGAATATCTTCTTGCCGCTAGCTTAGCACAGGAACGCAAAAGTGTCTCCTCAGTGAATACTCGTATCAAAATTGATTTAGATTTTGTGCTCTTGCCTTAATTTCCCTGAGTATATCTTTTTAACCTACAGGATATATGAGTTTAAAGCATCTGCTTCATTAAGCCATAATTATCAGTATGACTTTATAATGAATCTCTTATGTATGTTTATTTTTGTACGCTAATGCCTCTTTTGAAATAGTGTGTGACCATATAACATTAACATAAACCATATGTTAATATTGCATTAACCTTAGCATTACATTTGCTCTTTACTATTTGTTTATTTTTTTATAATGCATCATGGGCTTAAAATGTTTACCTGCAAGTTTTATCTGGCAGAGTATAGTCAACTGGTCTGTGTGCATGTTTTTCTAGGAATAATGTCTTGTGTAGCAACTGCACAAGGAAACCTGCATTTCGTAAGTGATACAACTGATGACTGAATGTTTTGTTCCCAGAAGAGGGTTTGTTGATTTTTTGGGTGAAGATGATGAATCAAATTTATTTAGTTTTCCAATTTGGCTTTCATTTATTTTGGGTCTCGTCATCTTCCAAGGTTGCACTGGCAAATTTATAAAATCAGTATTTTGGTAAGCTATTCATGTAAGTCTGTTCTATACAGAAAATATAACAGTGCTTCACATAGTAGTATTTGTCCTGTTGTGTGTAGAATTCTACACTCTGGTAAATTGCTGTTTCACATTTACTTGAATTATTGACCCTGGGGGTTTTTGTGATGTTATAAACTAAAACCCACTGCAGATAAACCACGTCTCCTATTTGCACTGGCATAATCAAACTTGTAATTGTTTGGCATTAGCACATGCAGAGTTGTTGGGGTTGGGAGTGTCATCCCACCCCTAAACCCCTGGGCAGTAACTCCCAGAAAGGAGGAGTAGTTAGTGTAACATCTAAACCATTTCATCCTGAAGTCTTTTATTAGGTTTTTAGCTCTTTCAAGCAAGTCTAAAGGGCAGTGTTCCTAAAAAGAACTACAGACATTTCACTTGGAATTCATATTTTGCTTAGTAGAAGAGATTGAAATACAACTGTAGCTATTTTGAAGAATCTCTGTGTTGACATTAGGTGACTTACTGGCTATGGATTGATTATTTTTCTGTAGCACTTCAGTGTTTTGCAGACAGAATTAAACTTACGCAACTTGTCCTTTTGGGCATGAGAGGGAAACAAGAATTTGCAAATAAGAACTTGAAATAAATGATTTATGGATAAAATTGCAGATTCTTCTACAAGTGTTTGGGGTTTTTTGTGTGGGGTTTTTTTTGTTTCTGTTTTACCATTTCCTTTACTTTTGCAAAGAACCAGCAACAGGAACACTGGGGTGGTTTTATGCCTCATAAAATGAACCTTTGAGAAATGTGTGGCTGAAAGCATGACACCGGTCCTTGCAGAGAAATTAATTTTCCTAAAGTATGTATCTCTAAAATTACTTCATATCCAGTGATGATGCCCACATTTTATAATGCATTTTTCAGTTTCTTTTCTCTAAAGCATTTTGCTGTGAGACTGGGGTTCTTTAATTGTTTTACACCATGTTTTTATGATTTACTTCCAATGTTATTGTGCAGTCGTCTTAGTCTGTAATGCCTCTGAAATATGCAACACTTCAAACATTTCTAATTCATTTTTAACAAGACACTGTTCTAAACCTTGCAAATCAGGCACATTATTTTGGGTTACTTGGCTAGTTGTTCTGGCTTACCTTTATGAATATGGATAAAATATTAAGTAAATATACATTTAAATCACACTACACAGTAAATTATAATAGCAGATAGGGAAAGACATTTCAAATGTGACAGAGAAATACTTCTAAACTGTCTTGTTTTAGATTATAGTCATAATAATGACTTGTTCTGAAGTAGGAGATGTCAAATCTTATCTTAGTATCATGGACTTTGGAAGGGACCTCTGGAGATGGACATGAAAAATAGCTGGTTAAGCAGCAGTTCCTCAGGTGAGAATCTAGGGGTTCTGCAGGGTTGCAAGTTAGTCAGGAATCAAGGTTTTACTTGGCAAGAAAGGAAAATGCTGTATAAGGATAGATAACAAAACTACTATGCATGTGAAGTAACTTTTCTGTTCTGCTGTGTGATCGTGCAGCCTCGGCTCCCATCTGGGTACTTTAAAAGCATGAGGAGGACGAGCACTGGTTTGTAAGTTTTCAAGAGTGTAACAGGAAGAAAAAGGTCTTAAAAGAATGCTTGAAAGATACTTCACTTACAGAAAGGCAGGAAAACACTGTACTAAGCTTGAGCCTAGCTTGAGATCAGAGTCATGGTGTAATTATTTAAGAGGCAGTCCTATAGGCTTTAGACTGAAATGCCTGCTCAAGGTTCTCATTGTGGATATTTTTTCCCTGGAAAAATAAATTGTTCTGGGTTTTTTTGGTTGCTTGTTTTGGTTTAATGGGGTAGTTGCATTGTTTGATAATTCTAAAGAGTTTGCTAATGTCATTTGGAGTATGTTGCAAATAGCCTTGAAATACATTGAGTGCAGTTCATTTGCATTACCGTGTTTCAAGTCTTTCAGTTGGCTATGGGTTCTCCATCTTTTTTCTGAAGTACACACACTGCAGAATACAATTCTCTTGTGTGAGACACCTAATACTTGAACTGTTGTGTTTTTTTTCAATATGTGGAGCCATAGGTGAAACTGGATTCTATACCTGTTACTTCTTTATCATGTAGATCAACTCATCTCTAATGTGATTTCAGAGGCCTCTAATCTTGCTTATGGCAGAACTCTTAAGACTCTTAATGAGGGCTGTATAATATCCCTTAGTATTCTACCACTTTGCTTCCCTTTGCTCCTGCCTTAGAGCATAAGTGCCCTGTGTGAGGTGTGGAACAGTTTACGTATTACTTTTTGAGTTACATAAGCACAGAATTTACCATATGCTACATCAGCAGGCTTGTAATAACTAACTTCATAAATGTTTACACAGAAGCTGTCAAGCCCCTTCAGATGTCAGGAATTATAGGCACAGGTAAAGAAAATTTAGATGATTGACTGTTGGTGACTGAGTTTTTCTGCAGCTCTTTTTTTATCTCATACATGCAGTATAGATGGTGGATTTGTCCTGGCAAATTAACAAGAGAAAGATATGTGGGGCTAGTGTGTCTGTATCTGTTAGTCAGATTTCTTTTTTTGCTTTCATTCTGTGCTTGTACTACAACATGTATATTAAAAATACATAAGGTAGATACACAGACAAGATTAGAGCTGAGGAATTAGTTCAGTTCAAAATAATTCTTTTGCATTTATTTTGCTAAATAAATTGTCTGCATCTTTGATATTACAATCAAAATGTTACCCACTGCATATTAGCATAAACTAATGTAGACATATTGATAGTATTACTTACCAGATGGTTTATCAGTTGAAGTTGGAATGCTAGTAACTGCAGGCATAGTTGGTAAGGTAGGTGGCAGGACCTTTAAGTTCTGATCACTCTGAATCTCATTAGTAGATATCTGGTTGATAATGCGATTGTAAGTAGGAGGCTGGTACACTTTGTTTGGTGGCTGCGGAGTTTGTGGCAGTGGCTTTACGGACGGCATTTTCTGACAGTGTTCTTCCAGTTGGGCAATTATTACTGACTGATTATTGGCAATCGACATCAAATGTTGGTACTTGTGCTCTAAGTCTTTGTATTTGTTTGCAAGTTGTAGCATATCTGCAGTTTGGTTCAAGATCTTATTCTCAAGTTGAGAAAGTTCTAAGGCATTGTCACGTTTTCGTATAATTTCATGCAGTAACTGCATGTAGAGTTGTGTGACACGAGAATTCATGTTTCTACTCTCTTTTCTCAAGAGTTTGACCTCATTAACAATCCCACCATCCACCTCCACCAGTTGCTGGAGAGTTTCTATTTGTCTCTTTTGTTTGATAAGTTCATTGTTAAGTAACTGTAATTCTTGTTTATTTACCCTGTTTTCAAGTAGAACTTCAGGCTCCTTAGAGTTGACACAAATAGCACCCGTCACTCTCTGTTGAGGTACAATAAAGGTGTAAGTGCATTTATCCTGTGTGTCACTGGAACGCTTATATCTGTTCATATAAATGAATTCCTGTTCTGTTTCCTCATCATTGCCTTCCAGTTCCTGTGTCTCGCTCGCTGTAGCTCCCACAACAGCTATTAGCATTAAGCAGGTGAATCTTGTTGTCATCATGATCCTCTTGTTCTGGTCAAATACTCTTCTGCAATGAACTTCTTAATCTGTTTTAAAATAAATTTAGCAGTAAGTAACAAATAGGAAATAGGTGCAGGTTTACAAAACAAGTGATAATCTGTGCTAAAACTTGCAAAAGATTGCATAGGAACTAGTATGGCTTTGTACAAATGAAAGACTTTCCTTGTCCAGCATAAACTTAGGTTGGCTAAGGGGGACATCGTGGGAAATGGTTGTATCATTCTGTGGCCGGAACTGTAGTTACTAGTTATACGCTTATCTAAAGCCTGCCACCAACCACAAGAAACTTAAGAAGTAAATACCAGGATTTGAAGAGTCCTTTTCCCAGGCAAGTACCACGGAAGTTTCCAAGATCAGTATTTTCATTTAAATATGAATTACATTTTCATTTCTTAGTTAAAAATATAGATGTTAAAGTATGCACAACTTAATACCTGCTGTTAAAAGTTCTAAAAATATCAAATAACTCATTATAATTAAAATCTTTACTGCCCAGAAATTACAGGCAGTAAAATCTGTCTGATAGAATTTGCAACTAAAATATTTATTGTTACGGAGATGTCTCTACACTCAGACTGCTCATTTCACTTCATAGTCCTTTCTTGGAAGGGAAAGCCATGTGCATATATGCATGGTGGACAAAGATGACCCCCCAGCTGTTAAAATTAGCTAGTAGTGCTTACTGACATATGAAACAGAAAAACATACAAAACAAAAAATCTGAAATTTTGGTGAAATTATGCTTGGTTCTCGGAGCAGATTCATATTCAAGGTGGAAATTTGAGGCCATTGCTTTTTCTTCAAAAATAAGTCAATACCAGCACTTTACAGGCAGCAGTCTTCTCGAAAACATGAGCTTGGCACTGTCACTGTTGCCAGGAATGCCTTGTTACAGATCATTCTTTTATCTGCTGCTTCAACAGCACTTTGGTATCATGTATTTCTAACAACTTTAATAGGCATGTGTATATAACCTAGTTTTCTTAAAATAAATAAAATGGGGCAAAAGTGCTGTGTGGAGCTTTTTCAGTGTATAAAGCCTGCTTGATACTTTTTAAAAGCAGGGTGGTGTTTCCCATCACATTTCTCTTTGCTTGTAAAACATTTCACATGGAATAACCATTCAGTGTTTAAATAACTGTCACCTTACTGCTTGGTCATCTTTAGTACAGCAATCTTTTTTAAATTACATGAAATGATGATAGTAGCAGCTGTGAGAAACTGGAATGAATCCAGCTGAGTGTGACCAACATGGATAGCTAGAGGCTGGCAGACATTATGTATGAGGAGCAGCAGAAAGAGCTGGGCTTGTTTAGCCTCTAGAAGGGAAGGTGAAGGAGACAGCTTACTGCTGTCTTCAACTACTTAAGGGGTGTTTGGAGAGAAGATGGATTTTTTTTTTTTTTGAAGTGCACATTGAAAGTATAATGGTCAATGCATACAAATTGGCCCAAGAAAAATTCATTTTGGGTAAAAGAATTTCCCAGGGAGTCTGTCCAAGGACAGTCCTGAAAGAGGCAGTAGAAACCCTATTCCTGGAAATAGGTAAAGTTCTGATTCAGGCAAGGCTTTGAGCAGCGTGATCTAGTATTGAAATTAGCCTTGCTTTGTAAGATGAAGGTGAGGTCCCATCTGATCTGAATTGTTCTGGGATTGAATCTGGGAAACTAGGCAGCTGCTGACTTATCAGAGATTTTTTAATTAGGGTTTCAATATAATGATGGACATGAATGCTGAAATAATTATACTGAGAAGAGAGATGCTGTCAGTCATTCATTTTTCTGTTGTGTTGAAATAAACCATAAATGTTTTTGTAAATGATTCAGAAAAAGTGACCAGGACTTGATCTTTCTTAAAGTTTCTGGATATACATTTTTGCCTCTGTTTTTTATTTGGAATAAACTAATTTTGCAAATGGCAAGGAATTGTGCTTTACAGCACCTGCCAAGAATCTTGAAAACTTGTCTGATAGAAGTTTGGAGTTTGACATGGATTCTGTAAGTAGTGGAATGTTATTTGGAGCCCTGGAAAACAGGGAACATAAATTTACCCCAGACAGCTTTAACTTGCATAATCAGCATTTGCACAGCAGGTCACACTTGGAAACCCTGGCAGTTTTCCAGGCCTCGTATTTCTGCACAGATGGAGTGTTTTGCAGTGTGTCTCATGTATAGGTATAAAATGGATTTTATTTCACAGTTTGAGTTGAAGTATCTTTCCCTGCCCACTCAAAACCTGTAATTATTGTAACCACTGGAGAGAAACTGAAATTTTCTCAGACTTCACTTGTGTCTTTGTTACAGCAACTCATGCCTCTAACTGAGGACAGGATTTAGGGCACACATTCTTTTCCAGGCTGAAGAAAGAGCAACATATAAAAATTTGATTTTTATTCTTCAGGGGTTTTTATGAATTATTTAAGAAAAACACTGAACAGAGGTCATCAGCTTCATCCTCACATGTCAGTTCAAACATCTTTCAAACTATAATAGACTGTTTCAGTTAGAAGGGACCTACAGTGATCGTGTAGTCCAACTGCCTGACCAATTCAGGGCTGACCAAGTTAAAGCATGTTATTTATTAAGGTCATTGTCCAAATGCCTCTTAAACAGTGACAGGCTTGGGGCATTGACCACCTCTCAAGGAAGCGTGTTCAGTGTTCGACCACTGTTTGCCATCAGTGAATAACATCAGCATAATTAAACGATGCTGAAATACTTCATTCTCATGATCTTGCCTGTATGTCAGTTTTTCTAAGGTGTCCTTACTACAAGAAAAAACACTGGAAGGAAAAGTACACTGGTAACAGAATGCTCCTGTACAAAGAGCAACAAGAACCATATTATCTTCAGATGTTTGTCTTCCTGTTTATGAAGTGATCTCTTCGGTCTTTTATTATCTCCTTGTTCAGTTATTTTCTACTTGTTGTTTTAAAAAAAACATTCAGCATGAGGCCTATTTGTTGCATATTGTGGGGAACTACATAACATAAATGGCATTTCTTCCTTTCTGCAGTTGGATTCCAGTGAAGTTCACAAGCAACATGCTTGTTCAAACAACTCCCCGTGATTAATCTTTCACAGAGGAAAAAGCTTCCAGAGGAAGTGGGGAGGGAAGCCGGGGAATCAATTCTAAAGCATTCAGTGCTTTTTAATATGTTCCTCTTTGACTAGGAGAACATCAGATTTTAGGACATCAGAATTCCTTCCCATGGGAGAGGAAGATCTAATTTACTTGATGTCCAGCACACTAACTTTCAGTTTTCTTCTGTTGCACTTACGCCAAGTAATTGCTCATACTCTTTGTACTTTGCTAGTGCTGTTGCTTGTTGATCACTTGGCTTTTACTGTTTCTTTGGCTCAGCCCTGCTTTTCTTCTCTCCCAGTAGCTCTTCTGCAGTCAACTAGGAGGGAACTGTATTACTGGGGCCACATTTGTCCCCAGTGCAGAATTCCACTCAGGTAGCGGTAGACTTTTCAACCTTGCCATTGCACAACACTGCGTTCTTTAACAGCATGTTTGGTGCAGCTTTTCTTAATTACTGAAAATACATCAGGTCTGTCATCTGCCCTCATGCACACTGACAAAACTTCAACAAGCAAACACACAAACAGAAGAGAGGTGAAAGAAGCACACTTAAAAAGAAAAAGATGTATCATTTTAATAAGAAAAATAGAACTTCTAGCTAGAAAAAATATGGAAGTTTGAAGCTATTTCATTTCTAGATTCTGCTGTTCAAGACTTGTGTGCTTGGGAAAGTACTTTTCATAGGAGTTGAGCTGGTAACTTGCTCTAGCGCAGATGCACCTAAACCCAGTTTTGTGCATGTTTCCTCAGCAGTATGTAGTACTTTATTTAGGCCGAATATTGTCTTTTGCCAGTGTAACTGCATCTGTATGAAAGCTTCTGGCAGTATTGTTGTGTGGGTTAGAATCATAGTATTTTTCATGCTCCTAACCAGCATAAGTATTTTGGTTAACATTTCGCTCTGTAGAACAAATGTTGGCCTATCTCTCCATATAGCTGGAAGTAGGTAATTATAAGTTGGTTTGTTTGCTCCTTCATTGTTTGTCCAACTGAGGATGTTCCCATGATCTGGTGAAAAAAGAGGAAATAAACTTTCTGAAAGGGCTATCAGATGTTTCAGCATTTAGTTGTTTTTTCCTGTCGCTTAAAGGGGAAAAGTAAATACAGTCTTTCTCTGGCTTTGCTTTGAAACATTTGTGTGGCCTATGCTGTCATGCTTATATGGGACTTTCGGTGCCTTAAAATATATTAGCTTTTGATTGTTACCAGTATCTTGAAACTTATATGTGAGATTTCAACAAGATTCGAGTATTTTACCATATCAAATTACACAGGTGCTTCACATCCTGTAGTTTAGTCAATGTCATGATCCTGAAATGATAAAGGTAAAAATATTTCGACATGCAGAGTACTACTGTTTGGCAAGTGTTCGCTTTGTTTTAACCAGCTTGCCTCAAGCAGTAGCATCAAAGGTAGCAATGTCAGCACTGTGGCCTTTTTTCTAACCTGCTTATAACAAAATACACATTTCGTTGTGGATATTCCACCATGTGTATCTCTTTCATAATCTGTACTTTATGATGACATGTTTCAGAGGATCTAATTTTTACAAAATAGGCTAGTTAAAGTATTTTATAAATCGTGAGAGTTCTCCCTGGGATTTTGTGCCCAGGAGAACAAAGGTATGCCTCTGTCAGATAAAAATATGACTTGTAATAACATAACAAAGAACCAAGCTTATTTGAAAATGCTGCCAGTAGCCTTTCAGTGTTATGGCTGATTTTTGCTGGATGAAATTTTGTTCATAAACTAGACATTGCAGTACTACTCTGGAAAGAAAGGTGTTTATAAAAGCCTGAATATATATTGTCAACACAGTTGCATCTAGATCTAAAGTGGTTTGCAATGCTGAGTCTTTTAACCACTGAGAGATTGGTATCTTGTCTCTGGGAGTTATGCTGTGTTCTTTTTATGCCTGCACTTTTCAGTGTTCCGCAAAAAAACAAGAAGAGCTGAAACAGTAGGAAGGCCACTGGATGGTTGCTGGGCACTGAATTTTATTATGCTTTACTGTGGATTACAACTCATTTCAAGGAAATGTTTTGACATGTGAGGAAGGTATCACTTGTACTACAGCAGTTTGGAGAAATACAAAGGCAAAATAATGACCTTGTGTGGAAAACCTTAACTAAGACAAATATGGAAAATAACTGTTAGATTTCGTACCAGCATATAAATTTTGTATCTTAAATTGCATTGGTATGGGTTACTCTTACAGATGTGGAACATTAAAGAACTCAGTAGTTCAGAGTAGCAGAATTGCTTCTTGCTGCTGCTCTTGTTATTCTGTATATAGTAAACTGTTAATAAGCCAGAGGACTGTAGCTAAGAAAGTGATGCACTAGGCTATATAAATGCAGCTTTTGTACAAGTGATATGTGACACTGTGTTTACCCTTGGAGACTGCCTTACAGAGAAGGCAATTTTCTGTGCTAAAACTAAGATGTTACATGAGTTGACATCTTACTTCAGTAACTAGTTGAATTGTGCTATCACTGAAATTATTGCAAAGATAATCTAACTAAGAAAACCCTTTACCAATATGTTTTGAGGAGCTAATGCATCAGAGCCTGGTGTGTGATGAAGACAGCAGCAATTCTCACTTCAAAAAGTTAAGAGTGGAATTTTGGTGGGCTTGTACGTCAAAGCTCAAGAACTAAGGAGACATTTTTTATTTTATTGGGCTTCAGTTACAATAACTATTTTAAACAAGGTGGGTTTCCTATGGGACTTCATATGCTCAAGCAGAAGGCTCCTAGAATGTCACATCCCTGATTACTTCCAGAATTTGGGGGTGGGAGGTGTATTTTTTATTATTTAACTCTGTTTTCAGTATATAGTTCTATTTATGTGTCATTTTAATTTTATTGCCAGTAGGTGACTTTCATTTAATTAAAGAATGGATAGGTTCACAGTTTGTTCCTATCCTTGTAAATTGCTCTGACTCAAGCACTTACAGTATAGAGGCTAGACTGTTCAGAGTATGTGCAGTTCTAACATGCCACAATTGAATGCATCATAATTAAACTGGTAATGCAGAGGCTTTAAAGAATATCCGGATAGATGGAAAAAAAACCCCACGTATATAATGAAGGATGAGATATGCACTTTTGCACAACACAGATTTTTTTTTCTGACATCTCCCTCTATGGTTGTTTTGACACGAAACAAAAAAAAAAGGCAGATTCTCCATACAGATGAGTTCATTTTGCTACACTGAATTGCTCTGTTACAAAATTCAGTTCTTGTGTACTGGTCATATTTAATATAACAAAGATAGCATTCATCTGAGGGGCTTTTCCTACATATCTCCCATGTTGTGGAACCTTTTGTGCTGATTCCTCAAGCATTTAGACATAAATGGAGGCATGTTCTTCACAAAAGGAATAGTGTTAGCTGTTACAGCATTTCTTCTTGAAAAGATAAACTATTTTGTTTGATTGTGAATTCACACTTAGTTTGATACCTGATCATTCTAAAGAAGAAACATAAAAAACTAGCAACAAATCTTCACTGTTTAATACTGGTGTCTTTGGTATCAAAAGGGGTTTATAGGTTAGTGCAGTCTTACACTTTAATTGATAAAAGCAAATGGAGCAAGGGTGTTGAAAATGTAAAATCCTACTATAAAAAGATCAGAGGGTTTGGGTTTTGTTAACAAACATTAGTTTTTGCTTCTGCAGAGTCCTTTGATAGGCAGTGTTTGTGGACTTACAGTTAGCTGGCATGTTCCAGGCACCAGGCCAGTAATATGATCTGGATTTCACAACACCATTGTGATAAGATAGATAAGCATGGATTTTTCTGAAGCTGCTTTCTTTCTAACTCCCTACCCCTTTTCTCAGAGCTCATGCTCTTTGCCTACTCCTTCTCCCAAACATCCTCTTGCAAGGAATGATGTTAATCCATCCTGTCAATCTTCCAGGTAGCCTTAATTTTTAATGTGATTTATTAATTTTTGCTCTTACATAAGGAGAGTGACTTCCACTGGTACAGTTTGGGTCTTTTTAGAATTAACATCATGTCGTTTGGTTGTCAGATAAAGGGTGCTGCTGTGAAAAACCTCAACACTGATTATTTTTTCAGTTTTGTAAAATGAAACAGCAATTCACAGTGGAAACACAGCACAGTAGTGTGCGTGCCACATGTATTAGGAAAAGCTTTAAAGTTTTGCTTGAAGTTTTAAAGTAAATAGAATAGGGGAGAGGGAAGAGCTGACACATAAGAGCATGCAGTTTCTGTTAACACAAGCATGATGTAAAAAACTAAGTTGAAAAAAACTCAAAACTTATGGGGAACGATTTTGGGGTTGTTTGGGGTTTTTTTTTGCCACTAGGTGCTGGATTCCATTGTAAGCAGTGCCACACAGCCAGAAACCAATTCACTGCTTTTATTATAATGCATTTGATACTGAGCTTTTATGTCCACTTAAAATTGGGGTGAATTTTTGGTTCAAGCGCTAGTTCTTAAAAGGAAATACTTTTGTCACTGAGCCGCATGGATGACTAAAGCAACACTGCAGAATGAGTGTGTCTTAATTGGCTCCTGGAGAACTTTTGTTTTGAAATACTATCAAGTGCTGCAGGGAACTTCAAAAGCTGAGGTATCCTTTGCTGCTGTGGAACTTTCTTCCAGGTTTTGGGAAAAAATGAGCTGCTTCTTAGTTACACCAAGTACAAGTTTTCTTTCTGGATGACCAGGAATTTTAGTCATGTTGATTGTGGATTGTTCTTTGTGCTTTCGTGAAGTTCTGTCATAGATGTGGAATGTAATTATTGAAAGAGCACTGCTTTTGTTGTTGCTTCCCTTAACAGCGGCCTCACCTTATTTTCACTTAATCCAATCACTACCAAAAAGTGCTCATACTGTGTGTGCACACACGTTGTCTGTAATAGCCCTTAAACACATTCACATTTTGATAAATGTGACTCCTTTTACCCATGAAAATAGTTAGATCATACAGTATTCAATACTTACACAAAGGTATTCATAAATGTTAGGTTCTTTTTTTTTTAATTGAAACTTTTGCAATATCTTTCATACTTTGTATAGACTCTCTTACAGGAACTTTTGTATCTCTTTAATCAGACAGGAGTGTACGATTGGAGATCTCAGTTTTTAATACAGGTAATCCTTTAGAAAAGTTATCATAGGAATCAGTATATCCTGGAAGGTTTGTTGAAAGGTGCATCCGTTTAGAGCAAGTCTGAGGAAGCTCGAAGTTACATGCAGCACCAAGTAAGGTTATAAAAAGATTCTGTATTTCTGAAAATAGTGGCAAGAAGGCTTTTCCCTGCCTGGCATCATTAAGTGTCTCGACTATCTTTCAGTCGTGTTTGGGGGCTTCTTTTTGTTTGAAGGCAAAAAGAGGCTTGTGCTTTACACTGGAGCAGTGCTGTCTGTGACAAGGTAACCCTCACTGGTGCCATGGTCCGGCTGCAGCGCAGTCCCTGGGCCCCGGCCGCACACCTCGCATCCACCCACCTCATGCCCGCACTTACCCGTCTCTTTCGGTTCTCTCCTCAGCCCGTGGCGTGCCTCACCCGAGGGTCTCAGCGCAGCTCGTCCGCAGGGGCTGTGACATCTCACTCGGCTGTGTCAGCGGAGGCAGCTTAGCCCTGCAGTTAGACGAGGCAGTAACCGGCGGCTCTCACCATCCTTTCTTCTCCCGTTCTCCTTTTTTTTTCCTCCCTGAGGGTATTTCACTCCGTGGCAGCCCAGCCTCAGCCGCCCATCCGCGCTGCTGCGGTGCACGGCCGGGCTCTGGAGTCCGCGGTCCGTGGCGTCAGGCGAGAGGCTGAGGCAGCCCGAGGTGAACTTGAGCTCCTTTGTGGCACGATTGAGTCCGGGCCGGGGAAAAGAGGAGGAAAAAAAAAAGAGGGGGAAAGGCGATCCTGCGGCGAGCCGCCCGGCTCCGGTTGGGCGCGCGTCCTCCCTCCTCCCACCAGCGCCGGGACCCACCCGCGACAGACGGCCCCGGGCCCCGCCGCAGGCATGACCTCAGCGCGGGGCGGGAGCTGGGCTGAGGGGGCTGAGGGGCCGGGCCACGGGCTGGGTGCGCGGCCCCCGGTGCTCCAAAGCGAAACGCCTCCGTCTGTCAAAGGGGGGAACGGTCGGCGTTGCAGCGCTTCGCGTTCCGCAGGCCGCGGCTGAGGAGCGGGCGTTTGGTTTCTGAGCACGAACAAGGTGGTAGAGTGTGTAACTGAGGAGGGTTCGGCCCCAACATGTCGGGGGCAGGGAGGGCCGCGTCCTGCTCGGTGGTGTGGAGAGATGAGGCATAGGCATCGGGGTCACTGCTCGGTTTTACTGACTGCGCCTCTGTGATGCTCAGAGAAGGAAGGCAAGGCAGCTGTATGCAGAGAAGTGCCAATATTCCCCATGTTTTCTCCCTTCATAAGTAGCTGTTATCAAGAAATTGCATGTTCCCAGAAATAAAGTTGTTCAAATTCAGGTAAGCTCTTCACATAACCCAAAGCCTTTCCAATGCACTAGTTCTATCCTGAAAAGGCTGGTTTAATTGAACCAGAAAGTGATAAACCATTAATTTTTGACAGACTTAGCAACAGGCCCATTACATTTTCTTCCAAGGGAGCAGGTTGTCATGAGTGTGGCTGGCTTTCCCAAATTCCTGACTATTTCCAGCCTAAGAAGGCAATTCCATACCTAGATTACTACTTGAGTATTTAATTGGTATTTAAGAATGAACATTTTCAGGTTCTTTGCTTTTGTGGAAAAATACAGGTTTTTTAACTTGCTGTAATGCCCAGGAGCACCAAGGTTCTTGTAAATACAGGATTTCCCAAGGATAAAGTTGGGTTTTTAGGACCATATTTCTAAATTGCCCATAACCACTTTTGAGCTCTTTAATATATACTTAAGCGCTATTGATTTTAGGGCACTTATTTAAGTGCAGTTAAATGCCTAGAAACTTTACCCATTGAGAGAGACTAAATAGAGACTTCCCTTGTGGTGAGTTTTTTAGTCATTAATGTTCTCTTACAGATAATTGTGTTATAAATAAAAGTATTTGGAAGATCAAAAGTAGCCAAACCCAATGTCTTTATTATAGTCCTCTTTTCTGAATAGGAAACAATGTATTATTACACAGATCAACCTCCTGATGAGGTGCTGAGTACCTTTCTGTCTTTTTTAAAGCTGTCTAAATGGCCTGTTCCTGGAAACTTTTATATATAGGTCATGCCAAATTGTGTATGACAAAGCTGCCTGATTTCTTCAGCCTGTTGCAATTTTGTCTATTGGGAAAATAAAGTTGTGCCAGCTCGATAAGTGATAGGGAGCTTCAGTGGATGTGCCAATGTCGAGTATCAGAATTGTTTGGGTGTCAAGAGGTGTTTGCCTTTCGGAAAAGATTGAGGAGAAAAATGGAATTGGCATTCTGCTGGGACCAAATGGGAATGCCTTTTCCTTAGATCTGTAATGCTGTGGAGTTCATTGCTTTTGCTAAAGGCTTTAGTCTGAATTATGTGATTTTCAAAACATTTCATAGTTATTCCATTTGCTTTTCCTACTGAGAATCCCAGACATCAGCTTGTATTTAAATCCATGATTGGGGAATAACAGATCCTGCTAATAGTAGTGTACTAATAGCCAGTTATTTCTGGCTGTGAAAGCTGACAGTTGTCTTCACCAGAGTAATTCAGTCACCAAGGAGTGGTCCAATGTTAGACTTGGCTTTGAGAACTAGTGAAAATACTGTAAAACAGATGGTCATAGAAGTTAATTTTGAGTCAGTGATCGGAAGCTCAGGGTAAACAAAAGAGATAAGAATGTGCCAATCTTAAAAAGGCAGACTTTGAGCAATCAAACTGAGTAGTCTTTTCAGGCAGTGCAGTTCAGTTGCTGAATTCATTTGCTAGAAGATCACTTGAAACCAAAAGTTAAAACCAAAACCTGTGTGTGTAGGAATAGCAAGAAAAAGAGCGAACAGGCAGATTCAAAGAAGAAACATAAAGAAAAAAAATACCACCCAGACTTAAACACGAAAGTGTTTATCCAAGCTCTATCTCAGGAAGTCCCTAAACCACAGCTCACTGCTGACAGGAAGCTACATCTGGAAAACAACTATTGTACCTTTGCCTTTTTCCTATATTCGTTTTCTAAGCACTGTCTTCTTTCTGACACTGGTTATGTTTGGGAATGTTTGCATGAATCATTATTACAATATTTAATCTTATGGATTTTTTTCCTGATTGATGAGAAAAGCATTAGGAGAAAAGAAAATGGCACTTTTGAGAGAATGTGATGTGTTCAGAGGAAAAGCTTTTCTAGGAAGCTCCAGGTAGCTTCAGAATTTTTTAGACTGTTTCAGTGGATAGGAGATTGATTTGCACCACTTGGAGGTGATTTTGGGCATAAATTCCTGAAAATGATTCCAGCTGAATTAGTAGTAACTTTTTATTTCACACACTGGTATCTTACTTTGAAAGTTACTTGGTTTATGCTTCACTTATTTTCTGGTTTTCTGTGTTAGGCTTTATTGCTACAGTGACAAAAGTGGAATTATTAATTCCAGCGATCCATTAGAGTGAGGGTATTCAGGAAACACCATGGGATTGTTTCCTTCTTTTAGTTTTGGCATGCCTGAGGATGAAACAATGATAATACTTTATCTCCTTCATTAAACAGAGGAATGGCTGGAAGTGAGTTAGTTGAGTTAAACAGATTTCTGTGGTGTTCCAGTGGCTTTCTGAGAAGTCTTAGATGTTCAGACTCTCTGGAGTGACCTTTTGGATTAGAATCCTTGCTTCTGGAAAATTTTCTTTTGAGGTCACCATTGTGCTTGAGTAAAGAAGAGGAAAACTTTCTATAGATCAGCAACAGTCTTAGTTTGCATGAGGCACAACAGGATCATAAGCTGCCCAGTTGAGGATTTGATACATCAAAAGGGAAGACGGAGTGTCTGTTAGGAATGTTTTGTTTTCTCTGAAGCACTTGAAATCAGCTGTCAAATTGAAAAATCAGTTCACTGAAATGGTGTTACTTTCATTTCCTTGAAAACTTGAGAATTTTTAAGCATGCTGAAATGTCTCTATAGAAGCACTACTATTTCCATCTGTCTCTGCCAAACATTAGTAGAAAATGCTTGTCATACTGACTCACTGTTATATTCTTTGTATTCCTAACAGGACTGGTGTTAACCATTAGTTCAGTTTAAAGTGTCTACTTTAGACCTGAGAAACCATGGGAAGGTTAGTGAAGTTTGGAAAGGCTGGTCTACATCTGTAACACTCATAGAAGCCATAGCACTGCAGTTAATAGCATTGGGGCTTTTGTTTGTGATGTATTTTCTTTCACAGAAAAACTAGTTATTTTCCTTTTTTTCTAGGAAAAAAATCCAACTGTACAGAACAATGTTAAATATGAAAAATGAAATGCAATTTAATATTTTTTGAGTGTTCTGCCTGAGGTAAATGTTTCAGTGCTGAGCTTTTGATTAAAGAAGGAAATTACAGTTCTTCTGATTAGCAAATGAAGCTGTTTTGGCTTTGTTCTTAATCTTTGTTCTTAGGACTCGGGACACAAAATAGGTATGACTGAGAAAGAAAAACGTAAGCAATAATAATATATTAACGTAAGCAATAATGTTTGTGGGTAGAACTATAATAGGGAATAGGCAGTTGTCATACACTGGGACCAGGGAGATGACTGATTCTTTCTAAACTCACCTAAATGCCCACAGCTTTCCATTTGCCAACTTTCCCAGTAAAAATAAGTAATTTTTTTTTCTGTTTTATATGTCCAGTGAATCTTGAGTAACCTGCCTTGTAAAATTACACTTATTTTGTCCTTGTTTATTTCATTTTTGACATATCAACACTGCAGTATAGTACCTTGTGTTAATATACTTCTGAATGCCTCAAAATAATTCAAGGTCTGCATTTCAGGATGTACAGATGTATGCAGGGTTTTAGGATGGAATGAACAAGGCTGCACAAGCCCAGTGCTTTAGGTCTATCCTCAACTGTTAAGTGCTCTTGCTCTCAGGCAAGTTCAGTAGTCCTGTGCCAGCCTCTCTCCAGTCTGACGTCTGTCCTGTACAGAGGTGTACCAGTATTGTACTGCACTATTCCAGATGTTGTCTCACTGCTGCCAAGGAGATCTAAAACACTTGTCTTTAATCCCTTTTTGAAAACGATCTGTATTCTGTTTGGTTGCCACCTCTGTGCATGTAGTAACATTGCATTCTATTGCAGGCTACATTTCCTGCAAACTGCATGTTATAATCTACCTTAACAATAAAGTTGAATTTGTATTGTTGCTTTCTTAAACACCACAGGTGGTTGGGGAGTTACTTTACTCCTTGTAGGTCAGAACAGGGATATTTAAACAGTTCATGTATTCAAGCTAGCAGCTAAGGCTTAAGTAAATGCTGCAGCTTCTGAGAAGACAGTGGGACCTGAACCCTTTCCCTTTTTCTGGTGATGATTATTTCTGTTTTAGGAAAGAAGAAGCCAACAGAAAAAGGGCACTATAGGGCAGTATAGGAGCTGCTCTTGACAGAGGGTGGAATTAGAAGTTGCATCAGGTTTTTTGATTTCTGTTGAATGAATGCTTGAATTTAAAGATTCTCATGCCTTTCAG